AATGTATTTGTTTCCCCTTTCTTTTAGCGGGCCTCCCTATTAGAAGGACAAAAGAACTGGCTGTCCGTTCTAAAGAGTTTTCACTGTTCCTCACTTCTTTTGTTGAAGATCTTTTACTCTTTTGGATTTCAATAAGCTAGATCCGTTTAACTGGGAAATTTTAAAGAAATGAAGAGAAAACTTACCCATAGATCCGCTGACGATGGAAAGGTTCAAATGTTTTTCGGCTCTCTCTCTGTCAATGTAAGTTTCTTGTTCTTACTGCTGTTATTGTTGCTGTTGTCGTTGGTAGCAAGCGCACTGGAAATCATCGGCACCTTTTTTTTGTTCTTTTGAGATCGCTTTTAGTTTTTTTTGTTGTTTGTTTTTACGTAGCTGATAACGCGACCACACGTTGATTTTTACTTTTGTACAATTTATATGCAGTTCTGTAATCGGGAGCGTCTGATAACCGATGCAGCTTTTTCTATATTGTCTTTTTTTTACATGAAAATGTAACGTACAAGAACAAAAGGCGCACGCACTGTAAAAGGGATTTTATAAAATGTTAAACATGAAACATGTATAAATACGAGAGAATTTATATTTCGGCATTGAAATTTCAGATTAACACGTTATCATATCATTGACCTATTTACAATTTACATATTTATGAATTTGTACACGATTTTTCAGTTGCAGTTGTTTAAAGCAATGTTAAAAGTTTTTATATTTTCGTCGAATGCTCTATATTTAATACTAATGCTCTAGCTTGGTATGTAAATATACACACATACATACACAAGAATATTTTCAGCTTTTTTATCTTCCCAATTTTTGTTTTTCGAAAAGATTCGGGCATGTGTGAGGTGAAATGCGCCTGTGTGTTTATGTTGCCTAAGATTATAAATTTATCGCTCGATTTGTTGTTGCTGTTGTTACTGTTTTAATGATATTTCTGGGCATTTTAAATTTGTAGACCGATCGATTCTCTAGCTTACACACACAGGCACACTCACAAGTAGAATTTAAACACGAATGCATTTGGCGCGCAAACAAGACACAACTCAAAAACCTAAACTTAAATTTGGATTAAAAAAGAGCCAACAATAGCATATCTATACTTATATGCATAAAATAATAAAAAATAATAAAAAACAGAATACTGCCGGTCACTTAATTTACTGTATGGCCAAACCAATTTAAGCTTTTTGTGTTATTGTTGTTGGTTTCTTTTGCTTTTGCGTTTATAGAGCTCCGACGATCAAGAAATTTCTGTAGTAATTTTCCATGCAATAACAATGATTTTCAGCTTTTTTTTTTATTTTGTGCGCTATCTTGTGCGCTTGTTTTCGGTTTTTTCTTTCTGTTTTGTTCTTTTTATTCTCTCAAATATTTATAATTTCTTGCTTTGATTCTCTTAAGACATTTTGATTTATACTTGTTAAAAAGCAAACAACAATTTATTTACCAGAACAAATAATAAAAACACAACTAAAAGACCTAAACGAAAGAGTTTCAACACTTTTATCGGCTGCGCTTGTTGCTCGAAACTTAAGTAAAAGCTGGGCTTTGAGCGGCTCTTGCTGGGCGTGCCGTTAACTCGCCGACAACCGAACACGGCCACTGACAAAATCAAACTAAAATCAGCCCCAGCTGGCTGGCTGGTTGGCTGGCTGACTGCTTGGTTCGTAAACAGCAACAGCACGAAAGCTAAACGAAATATGTATGTACGAGACACCGCTACACATGCACCCACACACTTGCAGTAAGCTTATTACGTACAGCCGAACAAGCGAGATAGCATACTGTAGGCAAATGAGAGCAGAGCAGCAACAGGCAGTCGGCAGAAGCAGGCATAGCAACAACAAAGTACCCTTCGCTATATATACAATGTACTACTAGTACTATGTATTAATAAACTGAACTCACTTTTGCCAGAAATGATGCCTAATGTTGTTATACTCTAATTAAAATTATTTATTCAAATGTGAATATGATTATTATATGATTTGAGTATTCTATATTTGGTTATTTGTAGCGCGATCAGAAATCGCTCAAACCTATTGAAATGTTGTTCCCTGCTAGTTTTTATTACAGATGTATGTATGTATGTATTTTATTTTGTTTTTTTCTTCTTCTACGCATGTCATGTGTAAGTGTGTATGCAGTCCACATGTGGAATATAACAGCAACATCACCAGTAGTCACACAACGGTAGAGTGGGAGTATGTGGGGATGGGTGAAATACGAACACAACATTGACACGGCGCGACAAAAACGACGCTTGATATGATTGAACTCTTAAATGGTCCCACTGCTCTTCGATTAACCACCCTATGCCAACGTCCAACGGCATGGCAAGGCCTATACATGCGTGTGTGTCTAACTTGATGCTTATGTGTGCGTATGTTTGTTTGTTAGTGCTTTGCAACGTTCGCGTTCTCCGCGTCTGCTCAATTATCAACAGTTTGTTTGTTTGGACGCTTTGTCTCCTCCGCTGTGTGTACACAAAGCAAAGTGCCAAAGCAAAGCCAAAGGCAAAAAGCAAAAGTAAAGGCAGCAATTGTTGCTGCCTATCATAACAATAGCAATAAACAGTAAACTAGCGAATAACAGGAGGATAGAGAAGAGGAATAATTTCCATGCAAAACCCACATATAGGATGGACTTCTGAGCTCGGCTATTGAGACCGGATCACAAAAGCGTTTGAATATTTTTCAATCAGCCTGCGCTTTTATCACACACACTGCCTATGCAAATGACGTATACATATATACATTTACAGGCAGTTATTTTATTAATAATATATAACGTACCAGTTAATTGTACTTGCATTTACAATTCACGTTCCCAGTTTTTATTTAAACCTTGCAGTGCGCAATGAAGAAACGAAGCATTAAATAAATTAATAATAAAACGCGAGTACAAAGTTCTGCACACACATGTATGTATGTACATATGTATGTATATAGAAACTATTAAAATGATTGTCAGCTAGAACTAGACGCTTGCGTTATACATACATGTATGTAAGTGCATAGATATGTATGTATGTATGGACATACATATGTACATCTGTACACACTAATATTCTACATTATTCTGTAGCTTGCTAGATTTTATTATCAGCCTTTTTGATAACAGCAAGCAGAACAAACACATACACAAATGTACACACTTATAAATGTCTGCATTGTACATAAATATTTACATATAGTATGTACGTACATAAAAGACCATGCACATACATATATTGATTAATGGGCAAATTTCGCACTGAATGGTTATATTACAGTTATCTGTGGAGAATCCCTGTTGTTGTTTTTTTTTTTTTGTATTGGTGGCTGTTGCGCCTGATAAGAAATGACCGATTTAGTTCTATAATGTATACCCACCCATCTGTATACATAAAATTCTGTATTTAAATGATAACTAGCGTAGACTTTAACGAGCCACGATGCTAAGAAGCCCATATTTAAGAATAAGTGGACACACAATCACATTTATAGAAATACATAGCTTGATAAGAACTATGTACAATGTACAGTTTTATATTTGAATATAAAATATTTTAATGTTGAGGAAGGCAAAAAGGCAAAAAGAAAAATCGTACTCATTTGGATAGAGAATGCAACAAGAGCATCCACATATTTTTGGCCAATTTCTACATTCTTCTAAGGATGTACATATGTCAGTATGTATTTATGATGCAGAAGTAATTCATCTGCAATCTCAATCCATTGGGAACATGTTCGTTCACGTAACAAGCTTTAAATTAAATTCTTTTTGAATTCTTCACTGCATTTATTGAAATATGCCGTATGTTTTCACTGCATTCCTGACGTACGCTCCCTTGAAATGCGTACGAGAAATCCACATGACTGCCGCCCACTAACTGCCCAGCTGGCCCTTGGCATAATTGCAGCCATTTGAGCAGTTCACCTGGACATGGACATGGAAACAGTTTGCATGCCATTTGTCAACTTTTTGCGAATACACGGCGCACTGGGCACAATTAGTGCACGTGTACACCGCCGAAAAGAAATGAAACAAAAAATAAACAAAAACAGAAAAAAAAAATAACATGCATACAACGGAACAGTGAAAATCTGAAAAACATCCGCATCCGCAGGTTGTCAATTAATTGTGCTGAAACCTGCAGCTGAAGGGCGCACAGAGCGGAAATGGTTGTTCGAGTTTGAGGATGCTTGTAACTTTTTAAATGGCCAACATTTACATGCATGAGCGAAGTAAACGGAGTGGAGAGCCGTACTGCAGCCGGACCCGTTCCGGCCCGCCAGTCAGCCAGCCGACTTCTGGCCCCATCAAATCGTATATGGGTTGCCGTTAGCGAATATTTGTTAGTGCTGTGAGTTAACCCGCCCCACCTACCCCCCCCCCCCTCACCATTCTCACCTTATGCCATCACTAAATTGGCTGTGCCCATTGCACTTCCAACAGGAAACGGATCCGAATCGGCCGTGCAATTGACCGCAAGTAGATTTGGCTCAATTTCTTGCAACATAGTCAATTACAATTACTATTGCAAAAAATCTTTACGAAAGAATAAATGTATTAGGCAATTTTCCCAATTTAAATACTGAACTTGTACTATAAAAACTGTTTAAAGTGTTGTAAAGTATGTAAAAGTATTTTCAAAATAAACTTATAGTTTAATACTAAGTGAATTCATATTATAATAAAAGTCGCAGCTTGATAGTAATGCATTTGCCGATTTTCAAATGTTATCGACTTGTGCCGCCTGACAAGTCGTCACTGCGATTCTGCCTTAACAGCTGATTGTTTTATTTTGAGTGAACTTTTGGAACTCACCTGAACCTGGGTTCTCATCGCAACGAAGCAATACATGGTTGATGTGGAGCAACAGCTGAGCTGTTATGGCAGTGTTATGATTTTGTTACGTTTAGCAGTAGCAGCTGTTATATTCAATTACAAGCGTCATTCGTCGTTTTACTTGACTGACTTGTATTTTTAACACAGTTTATATAATTTTATACCGAAGCGCATCAACCTTAATAATCATTTTTGTTCTTTTATTTAACAAAACCGTAACGACAGTTGTTCCACAATCAAATTGGTTCGCACTGTTATCTTTCTGTAAATGTTAAGAATTTGGGTGCCCACAGCGTGTATGTAAGGTGTGTGGGTGTGCACATCATTTAACCGCAAAAATATTATCAAATAAATGGCACCGCCAAGAACCAACAACCGGCCTGTGACCCGACGTAAAAAGCCAAGCAACCTGTTGCTATTGCTAAAGGAGAAATATGTCAATTGGAACTTTATCAAATACCTGGCATTCGAGCCGGCTGCGCTGCCCATTGTTTCGGTACTGATTGTTTTGGCCGAGGCGGCTATCAACGTGCTTGTCATTCAACGTGTGCCCTACACCGAGATTGATTGGAAGGCCTACATGCAGGTGAGAATGACGGGAACTTATTAATATATTTATATATAAACCAACAAATTTTCGCCTTACAGGAATGTGAAGGCTTTCTGAATGGCACAACCAATTATTCGCTGCTGCGAGGTAAGTGAATTGCCGCCTGGTTGTGGTTTATTTTTGGAAACCAGGCAGAAAGAGAGAGTGAGACCAGGCCAAATTTATTGCGAAAATGTAGCTGAACGTAGACAAACAGGCCGCAAGTTCTTACTATGAATTTTGGTGTATTTTTTTTTTCATTTTGTTCCACACTGGAATATAGCCCCCAAATTTACAATTAACAGTTTAAAGGCAAAAAACGCATTTGTAGCCAATCGTTTAACCAACGACGATTACAAAAGAGTTATCAATAACAAGACACAATTCAACTTAGTTGAACATGGATTTGATTTTGTTCAAGAAGCCTCCGCCGCTTCCACTTTCGCCTCCGGTTTGCTTTTCTTTTCTGCGTGTTTCCGACTTTTCGCTTTGTTGGCCTTTCGCTGATTCTGTTTCTGCTCCTGCTCTACTCGTTCCTTGACTACCGCTGTTTGCTGCTCTACCTGTTGACTGGGCGTCAGTTCTGGTTTCACTCGCACCTGCGCTGCAAGACATGTCAGTGAGTCAGGGGAAAGAGAACAAAAATTTAATTTGAGCAACTAAAGAATAATCTATGTTTAAATTTAAATTACTTAAGAATATTTGGCGTAGTTACCATTACCAGCTAGCCAATTGCATAATTGATCTATGCTGCAATTGTATTTGAAAGGTTTAATAACGTAAATGCTTTAACCATAGCTATGTACAGTGAAAACTCCCTTAATGGAACTCCCTTTGGTTGGCCGGAAACGGACACTTTTTCTTTAACAAAAACTTTTCCGAAAGGGCAAAATATTAAAAGAGAATTGAACTTTAAAGATGAAAGCAATTAGAGCAATTATGACTGGGGTATGTTTACGCGGACAATCTGGAGCCGTGGGTATTCGTTCAAGCGAGCTCTCACTGTGATTATTATACAACAAAAACTATATTTAACTTATTGCACATAGTACTGCAAATACAGGTTCTTTTGTATTTGTAGGCCCAATCACATTAGTTTTAAAATGTATTTACGTTGCTTTCTTACTGCCATCTTTCCTCTGCGCCATGCCGTGTATCTGCCCGGGCGTGTCCTCCTCCAGTTCAGCGTACGCCTCCAGCAGGGCGCGCTGCTCCTGACTCAGCTTCTTTGGTACCTCGATCTTGATGTGCACGTAGTGATCGCCGTGTCCGTGGGCATTGACACGCTTCAGTCCCTTGCCGCGCAGTGCAATCTTTCGATGCGATGAGGTGCCCGGCTCAATGTTTAGCCATTGATCCTCGTAGACGCCCTGAACGCGTACTGTACCGCCTAGCACCGCCTGGGCCAACGAGATTGGGGCATCTGTGTGGACATCGGCGCCGTCGCGACGGAAGTAGTCGCTGCGCTCTACACGGAAGGTGACAAACAGTTCCTTGCTGCCCACCTGCATGCGCACCGTTTGGCCATTCTCGATGCCTGCCGGTACCGGCACCGTCACCTTGCGCCGCTGTACTGTCTGCCCCTTGCCCTCGCACTCTGCGCACGGATATTTAATATATTGCCGCGTACCCTGGCAATAGCGGCACGTGGAGCGCATTACAAAGGGGCCGGTGGATATAGTCTCAAAACCCGTTCCATTGCAATATTGGCAGCGACCGGGCTTGGTGCCAGGCTCGCACTTGGAGCCGGCGCATTTGGGACACTGATCCACCACATTCACATTGACATCCTTATTGACGCCACGCGCCGCCTGGGCAAAGGTTAGGTCCATGACAAGCTCTTGGGCCTGCCCGAACCCGAATTTGGAATCTGCAAAGTCGTCAAAGCTATTGCTGCGAAAATTACCCTCGCCAAAGATCTTGCGGAAAAGCTCCTCCGGATCGATGGTGGAGCGGAATTGCCAATTCTGTGAGAAGCCGTCAGGCCCAAAGGGGCCGCCACCGAAGCCGCCGGCACCGCCCGCACCCTGACGATTCATATTCTCCGTTGTCTGGCCATAAGTATCATATTCCCGCCGTTTCTGATCATCGCTAAGCACCTCATAAGCCTCACTAACGTCCTGGAACTTTTTACTCGCATCCGGATCATCCTTGTTGGTGTCCGGGTGATATTTCTTTGCCAGCTCATAGTACGCCTTCTTAATGTCCTTGGCATTTGCATTCTTAGCCACCCCCAGCGTCGCATAGTAGTCCTTGGCCTGCAGGCGACTCGAGCTGAATAGACTGCGTCGTTGCTGCTGCTGATGCTGCTTCGCCGTCGTCCTCTGTTGCCAAGCGGAGACGGCGCCACCAGCAGCGGCAGGTTTCGGTGTCCATTTCGTTGGCCGCACTGACAGCAGTGCGGCGCTTGATTGAATGGCACTGTAATGCCGGCGACAGCTTTTGAGCGGCAATTGACGCAAAACACATAAATTTTTACACGAAATCATTTTGTCCGTTAACTGTATCAACTCTATTAATCTTCTCTCTATTTGGCAGCCAGCTCTAACAACATGCCGTAATAACCTCCATGCTGCTTGATACAAAGTGTTCTCTCTCTCGTTTTTTCACTTTGACATTTTGACAGTCACTAAGTTGCGTAAACAGCTCGCTCATGAACTTGTTGGTTCATTTGCTAGTTCCTAACGGCTGGTTATTGGGGCACACACTCACAGCTGTTCATAGGAAAATAACGCGTTTTTAAAATTGGTTGGATATTAAAAAAAAAAGAAAGGTTTTTTCTACAAAAACGCTGTTTTCTACTGATTGTGGCCTGGATGTTTATGTGAGAATGTTGAAAATCTTTGAGTTTTCATACAGATGGACGAACATGTCTGTAACGACTGGGATATATTGGAATTTATTCCTGATTAGGAAAATAGATAGAGCTTATAAGGGTCGAAGGTATTTGCTTGTGTGCGTTACATTTTGTATGGATTTGATAATATTGTTTAATTTCCTGCAGGTGACACCGGTCCGTTGGTATACCCGGCTGCATTTGTTTACATTTACTCGGGACTGTACTATTTAACCGGCCAGGGTACGAATGTGCGCCTGGCCCAATACATATTCGCCTGCATCTACTTGCTCCAAATGTGCCTTGTATTGCGCCTCTATACGAAGAGCCGCAAGGTGCCGCCCTATGTGCTGGTGCTGAGCGCCTTTACATCCTACCGCATCCACTCGATATATGTGCTCCGGCTGTTCAATGATCCTGTGGCCATTCTACTGCTATATGCTGCGCTAAATCTGTTTCTGGATCAGCGTTGGACGCTGGGAAGTATTTGCTATAGCCTCGCTGTTGGTGTCAAAATGAACATTTTACTGTTTGCTCCCGCGTTGCTGCTGTTCTATTTGGCTAATCTGGGCGTGCTCAGGACTCTGGTGCAGCTCACCATTTGCGCAGTAATACAGCTGCTAATTGGCGCGCCCTTTCTGCGTACCCATCCTATGGAATATCTGCGCGGCAGCTTCGACCTGGGTCGCATCTTTGAGCATAAGTGGACTGTCAACTATAGATTCCTAAGCAAGGAATTCTTCGAGCAGCGTGAGTTTCATTTGGTCCTGCTGGCGCTGCATCTGCTGCTGCTCTTATGCTTCGCCAAGCCCACCTGGACGTTCTTCAGAAGCTACCTGAGACTACGCGAGGTGCAGCAACAGATAGTGCCACAAATACTACACAAGAATCGCGAGCAGCAGAACCAAGCAAAGATTCAGGCGAAGAAGTCCAAGCAATTGGTAGAGCAGCAGCAGGAGGAGGAGGACGAGCAACTTAGTGCCGAGCAAAAGTCCTTTCTCAAGGCATTCGAGAGGAGTCTGCAACAAAGCACGGGTCAGAAATCTTCAGAACCACATTTGAACCAAAAGCAAGAACAATACGACATTTATTTTGAGCCATGCACGCAGCTGGCGCTGCTGCCCTTCTTCCTGTGCAACTTCATTGGTGTCGCCTGCGCCCGGTCGCTGCATTATCAGTTCTACATTTGGTACTTCCACTCGCTCCCGTATTTGGTATGGTCCACGCCGTATTCGCTCGGCGTGCGCTATTTAATTCTGGGCATTATCGAGTACTGCTGGAACACCTATCCCAGCACAATGGAATCCAGCATAGCTCTTCACCTGTGTCATCTAGTTCTGATTGTGGGCGTGGCACGCCACGTCTACCGCATCCTGAGGCTCAACGCTGCGGTAAAGCAACAGCAGCGGCAGGAACAACCCATTTTACAAAATGGTCAGCCAAAGACATCCAAAAAATCGCAATGATCAATAACATTTGTATATGTTTAAAAAAAAGAACCTTGGAAAGAAAATAACGCCTTAAACATTTATGTAACTTTTTTTTGGAGAAAAACTAACTCTGAGAAATATAAACGTCAAAGTTGAGTCAGCCTCACTCGATTTAATAAACAGGTTATAAAACTAGAGAATACCTTCTAAAAACAAAATTAGTTTTATTGTCATTATTGGTAAAGTTGACCCAGCCAAAAGCACATGCATGTCAGAAGAACTTAAATTAAAATATCCTATTGATATATATATATATGTGTAATTATATTTAGTATCTTGTGTTAGTACTGTACAAAAGTGTGAAAAGTGCTTATTAACTTGGAGATAAAAAGAACTGTTTAACCTACCATAGAAATAACTTAAGGTATGTCCAGTTAACACTATATATGGGATGGGTGCATTAGACGGATCTGGGTGTCAGTCGCTGCCGACGACAGTCGTTGGCGTGCGCAGCGTCAACGTAGCTGTTGCTGGTTGCGGCGGCGAAATGACAGGCAGCTCCACATGGCCGGGCGTTTCATCTTCAGCAGCAGCAGAGGCATCACTACCACTGCCGCTGCTACGTTGAACGCTGAAGAAACGTAGGAGCGTCGTCTCACTGTTCCGCCGGCTGGAGGTCGGCGTGCGTAAGTGTGGGGCGCCGCTATCGTTGTGTGATATGCGTCGCCTGGGTGTGGCCTGCAGTCTGGGACTGCATTCGGAGTTGCGCAGGCTTTGTAGACGGGGCGAGGCCATTACATCGAGCGTCTCCTCGATGCTCATCTTCTCGGCGAGCGTAAGCGTCGCCCGGCTGTTTGACATGAGCTTCTGTTTGCGTATTTTGGTTAGCCAGTCGACCTTCTCTTTGGCTTTACGTTTGGGCGACATGATGCCCAAATGCGGCGCCTCGCCGTCCAGCACATAGTTGGGCAGGTTCGAGGTGGGCGAGTAAATTAAAGAGAGCGCGGTTGGCGAAGTGGAGCTTGCGTTTGCTGCCGCCGCCGCTTGCGCTGATGTTGTGGGTGGCGAGGTGTACGGAATGTGATTTAAATGATGCTCACTAAGTGGCGATGGCTGCTGCAATCGACTAGCTGCTGCAGCTGTGCAGGTTAGCGGCGAGATGTCGTCGGCAGCATTCTCCTGATTGCAGACGGGCATGGTGCATTCCTCCTCGCCAATAGCAGGTAGCTGCTGGCTGCTGGTGCAGCTTGGTCCAAATAAGCGTCGACCCCTGGACTCGAGTGGCTTTGTGCGCTTCTGTTGCGGCTGCTCCATGTTTGCATCGTTACTTGTCGCGCCTAGCATCTCCAGAAAGGAACGCTTGATGGTCGTCTTTTCTACAGAGCTGGGCGTGCGTTCATTCATATCCATGAGACGCTTAAGTGAGCGCGGCGTGGACTCCAGATCTCTGAGATTATATTTATGTTGTGTTGCAGCCTTTGGCTGTTGCCTATCGAATTGACGTACATAGCTCGCCTGGCCGCGATATTGTTCCGCTACCTCAGCGGCTGTCAATGTCTCCGGCGCAGGCCCGATGCGCCAGATCTTGTGGCGCGCATCGTCGCTGCAGGTGACAATCGGACGATCATGTGTGGCGCCCCATGCCACGCACGTGACCTCGACAGTGTGACCCGCCAATGCAACCAGCGGCTCAGCCGCATGTTCCAGATTCCATATATACGCGCGCTCATCACTGCTTCCACTCAGCAGATATTTGCCGTCCGGACTGAGGCAGCTTTTGATGTAGAAAGTCGAGTTGAGCAGGCCTTTATAGCAGGCCAGCGGCTTGGGCGCATATGAAACCAAATTGTAGCAATAGATGGTGTTATCCATGCAATTGGCATACAAACGTGTGCCCGCCGCATCCACAATAAGATTGGTGAAGCCCTTAAATGTTGATTGACCCGCATAGGGTAAGCTTTGACGCGGCAGCGGCTCTTTTTTGTATGCGGTATAATTTCTCCTCAGATCCCACACTTTTATGACGCCATCGCCAGCACCGCATGAGATGAGCGTATCGTTGTCTTGGAAGGCCAAGCCCGTAATGCTGCTGGAGGTGTTGCTGTTGTTTGCCATTTTGGGCGTGCGAGTGCGCTGTTTCCGTTGAGATTGTGGCGTGCCCGGACCACCAGTGTGGCCGCTGTAAATACAATTGTCGACGCGTGAAGTCAGATCCATATTAAGGTTAGCCCGAATGTCCCAGATGAGGATGGCACCGTCGCGTCCGCCTGTTGCAAACACTGCTGGATCCGTGCGCTTAAACGCGGCTGTTTTCACGGAACGTGTGTGGCCCACATAGGAATTGAGACCACGTATGCCAGAGCCGGCGACCTCCCACAGACGAGCCGTGTGATCACCGGAGGCGGACACAAAGCGCATCTGCCCTGGCGCCCATTCCAGGTCGAAAACGGCATTGAAATGACACTGTGGCGCACTCAGCGACTGCTCCTCAGGCTCCTGGTTACGCTCTGTGGTATCCTGCAGCGCAATCTTGCCATCCTCGTTGGCGATGGCCAAAATGTGTCTGTAGCCATCGCAGTTGGCAAACTTGGCTGAGAATATGGGCGGCTCTGGGTTAAAGTCCGGACTGTAGTTGGCTGGGGCAATGCCATGCCAGCTGTCCTGCCTGGACACGCACAGGCGACTCAGCGCAAAATCATAAGTACGCTCATTGGCTGCAAGAAAAGGGGAAAGTGTGCAAATGAGTGCCAAATAGTTGCGTTTGTTTACGTTCTAGTTTCTTATGCACTACTTTCGCAAACGCAGCAAGTTTTTGATATTCCATATGAAAATGTCGTTGTACTTAGTTGCTGCACTTCAAGTCGAATTGCACACGAAATCTCCTTAATAATATTCACTGATAATTTTGGCGCTCGAATTTCCCGCGAAAGGAGCGGGAGCGCGCTCTAATGCATTTCGAGCGCCAAATTGCATAAATTGCCCGCGCTACAGTTCTTGCTTACCCAGTCCATGTTCTCTGCTACGCAATTTGTTGTATATGTTCATTATAAATACTACTGATTGTAATTATCTAATTTCAGACGCGACTTTAACTATTTTTTGGTATATAAGCTATTTCTTTTAACTATCCGCGCACTTAGCACATATTTTTCCCCAGCGACGCAGTCCCTGATTGTCGTACGGTATATGACAACACTGTTTATGTTAGGATTTTTGATCGCAAAACTAAGCACTGTGCTGAACTGTTATTAACAGTGAGCTCGATTTGTTGTTGGTGCTTTCTACCTTAACGAACAATAAAGCTGTAATTGGTAATACGCATTAATGTAAATGACTGTTTAATAATAAGAAAGCGATTTTCGCTGGCAGTAATTATTGGAAAAAAATGTAACTGCGTTTTAAAGTCGAATTTAACAGTTAAGTGACTCTATCGATTATTTTTAACATAATCAAACTTTAACGAACACAGCTGTTTTAAAATTATTCGATTATATTTCGATATTACATTTTCACCGAGGCCCTTATATTTTTATTAAATTTAATATTTAAATACAAGCAAGAAAAGTGAAAAAATTACTAAAAATAAAGTTTGAGATACTCAACTTATTACACACTGTAATATGATGCGCGTCAAATTGGCGGCGTTGACTGAGCATCGATTTTTGGTACTTGTTATCGAAAAAAAGTTGCTCACTTTTATATGCATATATTTATGTTTTTAAACACAATGTAGACACTTTAGTCACTCCTAGTAGCTGAGCGAGCAAGATGATCTCTACAAGGTGGTTGTAAGTTTTGTGATTGTTAAAAAATACATGTTTACCAATTAGCTTAATTATTATTACAATTATTTATGTTGGAACTAGTTCTGCTGAACTAATGTTTTAGCTGCGCATGCAGCCCTGCGCAGATATGCAAGGTTTATGTGTGAAAAAGATTAGAGGACAGTGTACAGCAAATTAATTAGGCACTTTAATACATAATAATGGCCGAATTGGTGAAAGACTGGCTGGCGGACTATCAACGCGCTCGCCGTCAGCCAGCCGACTCCGAGGCATTCGTCGTCGAGCATGAAACAGATCCCGAAATTGCCGAGGCCATCTTCACAATATTCAGTGACAGGCAGCGAAACGAGGATCTGATCCATGACATTTGCCAGCAGCTGCTGGCCTTCTATCGGGCGCCGGAGTTGACACTGCACAAGTTCCCATTACAATTCCTGCCAGTGCTGATCTACACATACCTGCATGCAGTCGCGGCCGGCGATAAGAAGGCATCTCGCGGCGTCGAGACGCTGCTCATATGCATTTATAATGGCGAGGTGTCCACCGATGATGGCGGCCAGAAGGTGTTCGCGTTTCGCATGCCCATCCTGGCACAGGCCTCCGTTTATCATGAGGTCAAGCAGCTGCCCATGACCGATTTGCGACGCTGGGAGGAGAACTGCAACCGCGAGGTCAAATGGGGACCACATTTGCGCATCGAATCGATTAATGCCCAGAACAGGATGCGCATCATGGCGGCGCTGCTCTTCTGCTACAATCAGCAGGTGAACCTCACGCAGAAGTCATCGCTGCTGCATCTTTGTCGTGTTGCCTCACAGATGGTCAACCAGGGATTCACCACCAAATCTGGACATGGACATCGCATGAGCTATGGGTAAGTAACAGTTACTTGCTCCTGTTCTAGCTTTAACTGTCTTCCAATTACAGCTCCGATCCAGCAACGGGCGCTACATTTCCCAAGCCCTCGTCGCCGCGCATACCACTCTCTGCGTCCTTTCTCATCGAGCTGGTGCATGCCATCTACTATGCCATGTTCAATGGCTTTGGCACAGTTGCTATACAGACCCTGGAGGATATACATAATCGTGCCAGCTACGAAATGTTTACGGAACTGATTCTAGTCACAAACGCTGTACGCAATTCGCTGCATGCGAATCCCTCTGGTCAGCCTAATGATGGTCCCATGGGTCTCAGTGTTGCGTTGACACCTGCTACAAATACGGTGACGACCTCTGTCTCGAAATCGATGATCACGAATGCTTCATTTCGTACGAAAAAGTTGCCCGATGACATTCCCATACAAGTGCAGGATCTCACAATGCCACAGGCGACTCAGCAGCTGGCCAGCGTAATGGAGGAAACGGAACCAATTGTCAAGGAATCGCCGTCGACCAAGGAAAGCAGCGGCACACGTACTTCCATCATCAGGCCCAGCATGGAGGGCATTAAAGCGCAGGCCCATAAAGCGCTCGGCTTCAAAAAGTCAAAGGACAAGGAGAAGGAAAAGGAGAAGGATAAGGAACCGCCAAAACCACCGCAACGTAAATTTGACAAGCATACGCAGCGCAATTCGCTGCTGCAGTTGCAGACACCAGACACCGGAATCGACTACGACAAGAGCCCGTTGACGGTCAGCAAGTCGAAGACATACGATGCCGTTGTCGAGCCGCAACCCACCGATATGCTGCCGCTGCAGACGCTCTCGCTGATCAATGAGAATGGCAGCAACAGCTTCAGCATGGATAGCGACATGAACGACGGCATCGCCACCCTGGCTGGACCAGGCAGCGGCGTCGCAGCATCACTGCATAGCAATACGACTTCCATTACGAGCAGCGATGTGCTGACCAAAAGCTTTGAGTCCAGCATCGAAATGACGCCCATGGGTCACAGCACCAGCAATGGCGGCAAGCTGACCGAACATGGTCTCGATTAGAGCGTGCCCAACAACAAACCAATTAGCCAAATTCAAGTATATTTATTACGATTACTCTACCTACATATATATATATATACATATATATTCGCACGTTACCTCCTCGGTATTAACTGACGAACAAAACCCGTATGTAAGATTTGGAGCCCGGGCTACGTTGGGGCGTTTTTTGAACTGGAAAATTGAACGCAGTAATATTTAAAAATCCGATTTTGAATTTGTTGAATAATTAATATTGTCACATTTAGTTGTTGTTCGTATTGTATTCTAATTGTTGCTAAACATTTACATTACCAATTATGTAATTATCGTTTAGATTTAAGCGTTTAAAGTCCTTCACCCACAAAACTAACACACTTACAGCCAAGTTACCAGAAAATATGCTAAAAAAAAGTATTTTATAATGAATTTAATAGTGCAGCTAACATAAAATCTGTCTAATGTAAAGTTATCTAGACTCTGGTATGATGGGTTAAATATATATATATATGTTAAGCAATATGAAAACTGATAAAAAATAATGGGTATCTTCGGGCCGCCGAAGATTTAATGCCCCTGCAAACACTTAGCAGCTGTGTGTGTATGAAAAAGTCGACTCTCGGCCGATTGTTTCTATAGAAGCTCCATGATATTGTAGTCCGAACATAATGGAGCTCTTTATTGTCAAGTTTGGTTTGGGTATTTTAAGTAACCAATGCTTTCCTTGCAAGCTATACGATATAGAGATCCGATCTGACAGATGCCGACATATTTATGACGAATTTATGCCAAGTTTTATAAAGATAGCTTCAAAACTAAGCGACTAGCTTGCAAAGAGAAGGCCAGACCATGACTATATGGACTCAATAAGTCGTCCTGATCAGATATCAGATATATATATACATGTTGCAAATGTCTCTCCCAGTGCGTTACACAGTTCGCTACGTACTGAATATACCCGCTGTGAGGGTAAAACTGTTGCAACATAGTAGGACACAAACATATATACCACACATATGCATATGTAAGCCCAACATATAGTATACAAATATTTATTGAACAATGTTATTGTAATTGATTTAAACTTAAAAAAAAATATATATATACATACTTGAAATGTCATCAGCTGGCTGCACGCTTTCGGAATTTGCCCTGCAGAAAGATGCGCGGCACATCGATGCCCTCCTTCAGATTGAGTGTGCGCCGATGCACATAGCTGTTGTCCAGCACCTCGAAACCATTTTGGATGAACAGCTGCGCCAGCTGCAGCTCGGCAAAGTAATAGCTGCGTGTGCCATCCTGCCGCATATATAGATTCTCGGCAATTTTGTGGCCAGGTTTGAAGCGCAGCTGCGCCATGTCATAAAGCCCATAATCTCGAAACAGTACCAGGCCACCAGGTTTCAGAAGCTGCCATAAATTCCGTACCACATCGGCGAATTTATTGGGATGTATAGCGGACAGCACAAAGATCATGGTGCACACATCTAAACTGGATGCGGCAATGTGTTCATGTACCTGTTGCGTCGTTATGTCGCATTGGAAGGCAGTTATATGCTTTGCATCGTACAGCGGATTGGCACGAACAAAGTCAACAGCACGCGGTGAAAAGTCGCAGGCATAGAAATAAAATCCTTGGACCCTGGATTGCTCCTTAATCTGCTCTTCCAGCAGCGGAAATACCAGATTGCCGACCCCACAGCCCACCTCTAAGAGGGTACGTCGTCTTGTTCCCGTGCTTGTGCATTGCTGATCCGCCAGCAGCTCCTGGAACTCACGTGTTGTCCAGTGGCGATCCTTAAAGAAGCGCGTCTCGTTGCGTTTGTAGAATAAATCCCAATGCCGCTGTGCATCGATCTCCAATTTGTTCGCTTTGAATTCAGGCACCAAACGCTTGTTTTGCTCGTCAAGCCTCTCTAGATCCTCAGCAGATAGATCTTTGGTTCGTTTGGTAAATATATCCGCTTCCATTTGATTCAGTTTTCAATTAAATCGTTGACAACAAAAATAGCGCAATCCATTCGTCTTCTACATGTGCCAAGAACATTTTACAAGGTATCGCCATGCATTGTCTACATATGACGTCATAGTCTCACATCTTGAAAGACAACATGGTAATAATATATGTGAATGCAAACACATTTGTGATGTCATAAGTTTACTTGTCAATTTACTACCTTCAGCTTTTTCCATGTCGAAATAAAAAAAAATCGATTTTTAATCGAAAACACAAAAATGCGACCATGTGTTTGCGTATATTTGCGAGCTTGCCCGCTTATTTCCGAAACGAATGAAACGCCTTTTCAAATGAAACATTAGCTGTTGTATTACAGGTAAACAATTGATTTCTTTAATGCGCCGAGTTCTTCAGATCATTATAAGCCAAAAACTCATTTTACACATATATATTAAAATATATACTATTAAGAAGATAACAAATAACAAAAGTGAAACGAAAATACCAACCCAGGTATTGGCTTTGGATTGCTTTGGTCTTTGATTGTAGTTTGTTGTGTTCGAACTTATCTGCCCATTATGGTTGGCTCATCTGCCATGGCAACTTCATCATTTGGCGCCTTAGCGCCTTTTTTCTTACCCGAATACCAGAGGAACATAATACCGCAAACAATATTAGTTACAAAAGTGAACCACGCCAGGTAAACGCCATAGCCATAGCTGTAGGTAAGACATTTGTATATATTAACTGTTTGCGATTTTTGTAGTGTTTTACTCACGTCAATTCCGCACCATCCGGATACGCATAGAACAAATGCTCCTTGGTGTAGTCAATGGAAGAGAACAATACCTGCAAGACGACAAGCGCTGTGGATGCCGCAACCAGGTGTATGCCGCCGGCCAGACGCTTGAACATATAGCGCGGGTTCATGAACGTGTAGAAGGAGAACACAGCACCCAGGCTCATCACGAACAGTGTGATGCAGGCAAACGATGCCTGCGTTCGTATGTAATCTGCAATGGCGTGCCACAACACTACCAAATAAAAGCTGAAACAATAGCAAATCAATTGGATAAAACTTACCCATCAGCTCATCATCGAAGCCGGGCTCGTTGCGCAGAGTATTGGAGTTGGGGAACATGTCGATGTACTTGCAACGCGCTGTTCAAGAGAGAAGAGGTAATATCTATTAATATAAATACCTAGGCGATTGCATACTCACGGTAGGGTATATAGCTGTAGTAGGCGGTCTGGCCGCCCCTCTTGGGGGGCAGAGGCGGCACGAGTATCAAAATGACGCGCTCCTCGTTGAGCACAAAGGCGGGTATGCCAATGTCGCGTATATAGGTGCCCAGCAGACGCACCACCAGCGGATAGTCCGTCCAGTTGCTAAATATACACTGTTGCGCCATCTCCGGTATTACATAGTACGACCAGGTGTTGTTATATTTGACGCGCTGCAGCGCCGAGCCAAAGGTACGACGCCTTATGATGCCGCTCACATCCAACGGATCGATCGGTATGGGCTTAAGGGCTGTGGCATTAAATTCATGCTGATTGGCCTCCGTGGACATGACCAGCTTGTGAAAGGCGCTGCGAAACGTTTGGAACTCCTCCTCCTCGCCGCGTGCCCAATGGGCGAACATGCGTCGTCGCGCGGGCTCCGTAAAATTCCCGGAACCGTCCAGCTTCTCCTCGGCAAAACTCCGAATGAAGTCCATGTGGGTGAGATTGCGTTTGGCATCGTTAATATATGACTGTGAGGTGTACGACATGGAGCTAAAATTCCGCACCACCTGCGCATTGCTGAGCGCATTCGGAACAATTGTGTTGCGGCAATGGCGCCACAGGCCCGAATGCGAGTTCATAAAGAAGCGTCGCGATTCGGGTATAAAGATGCCTATGGGAACGAAATTGGAACCGGGATATAATATAAAAAAATATGCATATAGTGTACACACCTGCCCCGCCCGATATGATAATCCAATGATCCGTTGCAATGGCCACAATCCAAACACACAGCGAGACGACCATCAACAGGCTGCAGCCGAGCAGTACACGACGCTGGAACATATACGCCTCCATCAGCGGTCGTCTGGCCTCATCCCGGCCAATGGTCGATGTGGAAACGTCGCGCTTCATTTTGCCAATACTAACTGCGTCCGCTCTCTACGGGCTCAGCCACAGCTGTGCGCTGCTGTCTCCGGGCGATACCAATGGGAAATCCACACGCACATGGGATAGGGCACGTTCCTGTTCGGTATGAAAAATGAAAAAGTTGGAAGGCGACATGTTGGCATGGCTAATGGTTAAACAAATTAAGTCACGTTGCGTATACGCAACGTTGTACGCCCGTCTGTGTCTGTGTGTGTGAGTGTGTGTGCGTGCGAGTTTTCTCTCATCGTCATAATTATAATTCAGCAGGTGTTTTTAATACGGAATTTCATTTAGATTTTCGTGTTTATTTTCTTTTGCCTTTTTTTTGTGGATTCTCGCTCGGTTTTATTTTTGGCCAGCTCAATATTTAAATAATCATATTTTATGCACATTTGTCTGGCATGAGCCATTAATTATGCTGCTATGGAGAATTTATTTATTTACATGTTATTTTTGACGTCGTCGCTTTGGCAACGAAAACGATTCGTAAACCGTCCGTTTTCTCAGATTTCTATAATTTCTTGACAGAAATTAAGCAAATTAGCAGAGACATTCACGACCGACCAACGAAATAATGTGAATTCCTTTGAAATAATGCTCCATTCTATTTTGCATTTTCTTCAAATTGAAAATTTAATATACTTCTATATACATTCATGTGTATATCTTGCGAATATTTCGACGAGAATTAGGTGCGCCCACCGCGTGGGTGGATGGTGTCGTGTGCGTGTGAAAGTGCCATAGAGCAGCGGTCCGGTCCGACATGTGTACCTGACGTCCACATAGTCAGGTTTTCCCCGTACTTAAGCTCTATATATATACATGTCATTTAATTGCTTCGTTACCCATCAAAAGAATCTCAATATAGGAAACTGCTTGTCCCGTTTGACTACACTGACTGATTGTCGATCAACGTACAGTCCAAGTCGAGATAGAAATTCCACTTAGAATTGTGGAAAATTGGGGGAATTTACTTCTAACAAGTTTGTATATATAAATATATAGAAATTATGTACATTATGTCACGTGCAGAAAATTATTAGGGAAGTAATATTTGAAATTTGGAAAGAAAAAAACTTGAGCCGGGCAAAGCTGGGTAATTTGTGCTAGTAAAATATATATGTGCAGATCATAAAATGTTGAAATGCTGCGCCATTTATACAGATAAAGCCCAGCAAATGTCGTTTTAAGACTTGTGTGGAAAACCCGCAATAATTTGCACTTATTATATTCATTAGCGTAAAATGTTGTTTAATGTTGTAAGTAGTCGTGTTTTATTTATGGCTGCTTTCATCTTTTGTTCACATATCATCCGTGTGGCATGCAACTTCTTGTGTTGTGTTCCGTGTGGCGATCACTTCCGTGTCTTATTTATAGATGTGGAAGAAATAACTGAATACGCCAGTTGGAAGGAGTTGCATCTGCGTCATGTGGCCAGAAGTGCGTCATTTGCCACATTTTCAATTGGAGACAGAGAGCTCTTAACTGATAGAGTTCTTATGCTATAAGTGCTAAGTATATTTTGTGGGTGTGTGTTTTGTTTTTCTTATTATTTATTTTTATTCTGCTTTAATTTTGAGCTATTTTTCTTTTGTTTTTAGTTTTTTTTTTGTTTTAAATTTTGCACGGTACGCATTTGGCGCGCTCGCCATTTGTTTTAAACAAATTTGTCTTGAACATTTTGTATTTTTAGACGGAATGTACAGTTATCAAGCTGTGTCTACTACACATACACACACACACACATTCTTTGCGCCTAGGTACGTCTGTGTATGTGTGTGTGTAAGGGGGGGGGGGGGGGGGGGGGGGGCATATACATGTATGCAGATCCAAGCTGACCGACCGCACGACAAAATCGCTGAAACCGTAATTTTTCAACATTTCATTGTCTTTTATTTTATATTTGTTTTTCTTTTGGGGGCTGCGCATATTGACAGTTTTGACATGGGAAATATTTTATATAAATAAACAGTGCAAAGGTATGCAACACACACACACACACAAACACACACTCACATACATACACGCGCGCACAACAAAAACAAAAAATGTTTAGCCTAAATCTAAAATAAATAAGTATATATATTATGCAAACAAATGTTGTGTGTTAAATTTTTACTGCTCAATTTATATGTTTTTCTCGGGAACTTTGTAATTTATATAGTATTAGTTTATTAGTCTTGCTGCTACATTTATCTTTAGTTAATGTTGTGCATAAATTATGTCAACGCGACGACAAATTTGAATTTCTAACGGAACATAACTGTCAGCTCGTAACTGCCAGTTCGCTGATTTACGATTATATAAGTGCAGCAGCAACAAATACAAAAAAAAAAAAAGAACCACAAAAACTATAAATGTTGCACATTGTTTACCATTAAAACTTTCGAACTTGCACTAGATTTATAGATCGTTCGATTTGCTGAATTCCTTTTTTTTTTTTTTTTTTTTTTGATTTGTTAGATTTGTTTGGGTTGAAGTTGGGGCACGCTCAGTGCCAAAGCCGTAAATAAATTGTTGTTAATTTCGCGAAACTAAAAACCCAAACAAATAAATAAATACTACTAGAGCTAAAAGAAGATCGTTTAAAAATATAAAAGCATGAGTGCCAAACGCGCGCAGACAGCGGCACGGCTACGGTTTTTCCACAATACAAATCCAATTCTTAAATCACAATCAAAACCACACGAGATCGCGCACACCGTAACTGACTACTGCTGCTGCTGCTGCTGCTGCAGAGCACGGGCACAGACTGACTGACTACTGCCAGAGGCAATAGCAGCGGCAGCGCCAGTGGTTGCCCTGGTCGCGCTGTTGGGAGCACGATAAAACAAAAGGCCTGCGCTTGCTCGAGGCAGGAAAGGAGCTGGCATTGTTGCTTGGCCCGCCGGCGCTGATTTGTGATTTGCGAGCGTTAAAATGGGACCCACAGCATAAACATAATTTGCGGCGTTGGCGGCGTGCGTTCTACATTCAAGAATTTTGATAGACGCCGGGGTTGGCTGTGACCACATGTGCATGTGGCAGGGGTATATATAAATAACAAGGGTGCTCTACTCGGAAGCGCTCGACTAGGAGACACCCTGGACCCAGCGTCCAGCTGGCGGTGCACACAATCTGGCTTCGACACACTTCATGCGAAATGCATCCGTGAATATACAAAATTATCAAGACATTATATGGCGTAAGTGTCCAAATAACGAGGCTCTATATTAAAGCATTTTTTTATAATTTTGGAGCCTGAAATTCACTTAATCCTTATATACCTTAGATCTAACAACTTTCGAGTTATGCTTAAAAATCCACGTCTCAAAATTGGTTCTTATTGATGTTACAAAAATTCGAGAATAAATCGCGAGAAATATGTTAAACGCGTTTTGCATATGGCACCGAAGAATATATAGTTCAAATTCCGATCAAGCTTTTATATTTTCCGACACTTGCGATCGACTCAGCTCTTTGTACGTATCAAGAATATATATACCTTGCGAGTCGGTGATGCTTCTCAACTAGTTTAAATAAATTATATATAAGAGACGTTGTCGCGACAAACAACCAGTGCATGGCCACCTGCAGCAGCCGCGGCGCTGTCGCTGCTGTCTGGCTGATGGTCCAAGCCCAAGCAGACAAGTGCCAAGCGTGAACTCTGGCATTGTCGTGATTCACTGCGTCATCGTTTTCGTTTCGTTTTTAATTGCGCCATAAAAAACTGAGCTGGCCAGCAACAACAGCAGGCACATTGTGTAGCAATGTGTGTGCGTAATTTTAGAAATTGATGTATTTAGGCATCTCTCTTTTTTTTAATGATACAGAGCCATGGGCAGCTATTTATAAAATAAAACTCGTAAATGCTTTGCCAGCCAACCAGCCAGCCGCATGCCAATGCACAACGTCGACAACCACTGCTCGCTGCTGTTGCTGCTGCCGCCGCCAACAATTTTGGGCCAAATTGCTATTAAACGTTGACAACTCGTTTATGAATGTTGTTACCATTTGTTTTTTTTTCTCATTTTTTGGCATATCATTAGCGCATCATTCAGCGGATGACGTCGTGCGGTTTGTACAGCTAACCACTTGTTAGTGCTTCGTTGGCAAATGGACAGCAAATGGATTTGTGTATCTATGTTTCTAATGCTGTCGGTCTGTGATGCGTAATGCACCCATATCCAAATTCAATTCGCTGAGCATGTCATTTGGTGCAGCACCCTGCATGGTCAGGCCGGCAATCACCTGTTGCGCATCGGGGCAATTGATGCAGGCATTGCGTATGGCCAGAATGCTCCATTCGCGCATCACTGTGTGGGCCAGAGAAAGCACAGATTAACAAGCTAGTTGCTAGCAATTCTTGGATTGTAACTTACAAGGATTACGCGCATCCATGACTGTGCACTCGAGCAGCGCAGGCAGCAGTTGGGTGTCGAGGCAGTAGCCTCGGTTGGCCTCGTTCTCGTACAGCAAATTGGCCGTGCAGCGCACCAGCAGCGTTTTCAGCTCATAGGACACCCGCGCCTCATAGCCCGCATCTATGTTGGAGGTGAGCGCCACTTCCTCCAGCTTTGTCATGGGTGTGTCCACGTTGCTATTGGGCTCTTTGCCAGCCGCGATTACACAGCGCAACAAGCTGCTGACATTAATAAATAGCGAGTGATCGACTGCATAGATTTTGGCATAATTTTCTGTGCCGCTGGCGCTTGCAATGATGCGGAGCAGCGTGTGCACCTCACGCGGATGCAGCTCGTGACGTAATTTAATGGTTTCACGTAGAATGCAATCGGATTTTAGCCGAAACTCTTTGGCAAAGAACAGCAGCAACATGGTGCTGAGCTCTCCATTTGGACTGTTCTCGCGCAGATAGTGCGCCACATAGTCCAAAAAGGCAATGCGCTGCTCCACCAACGCCAGACGCTGATAGCACTGCACACAGGTGCGTCCATCCTGCACTATAAAGTGTTCCAGCAAAAAGTGCAGATACTCGAAATTGTAATCCGTTTGCGCCTCAATAATTGCCTGCCAAAGGCGCACACATGTTTCAAACACCAACTGATCGCTGACCAGGCGTGTGCAACGTCCTAAATAAATGTTATACATAATCATGAGCAGCACATTGTTGGAGCTGCCCAGTGGAGATGTGCACGCCTGCTCGGCAATTTGTGCGCCATGTGTCTGCCAAGTGGCTGCCTGTGTCTTTGCATTGTTTACAACGCTGTTGGCCAGCACCTGAAGCGTCAGAATGTGTAGTGTTCGCTGCTGTGTCCTCATAATTGGATTAAAGACAACGTTCTGCACAAAATGAGCGAATTCCACATTGTTGGCCAATGTTTCCTGACTGGCGCTGCTTTGGGTGAGCAGCAGCCGTAAGCTTTTCAATAGTGTCGTAATTTCAACTTCATTCTCAACTATATTCAGTTTTAGTATTTGCTGCAGAACGTCATTGGTTTGGATGTGCTAAAAATGTGTTAACATTAGTTAAATAAATAAAAAATCTAAAATGTAATTTGTTTACCGGCTCCACATGTTCCATTTTTATAATTGGTCCAATAACAACTGTTAAAAAGCCGATGTCACTATCGATATCACGATAGTCTGCTTTTATCGATGGCTTCTAACGCTTTTTGGTTTGGATTATCACAATTATCGAGGAGCACAAAACACGTGAAATGAAAGCACAATCTAGTGTTTTTTTTTTCTAAATACATTATTTTTCTACTGTTTTACATTTAAATACTCTGCTTTTTAGTATATCGTTCGTTAGCCCTACATTACAGACAACGTACCAAAGCCGGTTAACAGCTGTTAAGTTTCAATTTGATTTAATTTAAGTTTGCGTTGCTGTTTTTCTTTTTTAAACTACAACTGTATGCCAATTATATTACCTTTGATAAACAAGAAATGTATACAATTTTCAAATTTTACACATGATATTTGCTGATTTCTGTTAATAACATTTAAGCGAAATGTTAACTTAACAGATGTACGAGCAAAACAGCATATCGCAAAAATAAACAAAAACCAACAGAAAAAGCATAATTTAAATTATTTATTACTTTAAGCCCAGCTTGGAGTTGTAAAATACGGATACAGTGGATACTTCGAGTGGCCGATAAAATCAACACAAAAGCATACACAATCCGGCTGCGGCGATACCACCACGTTGAACGATAACGTGGACAACCAGTCCAGGGTACTGAAGGGTATCTTGGTTGTTTAAATTCAGAAGGAAAAAAAAAACAAATCAACACTACATTTTTATGTCAATCTGCTTTGCTTTTCGGGAAATACAAAGCAAATATTTTATATATATATATTTTATTTAATGCAAAATTCTTGATTCCCGAAATATTATGCTTGTTAATCGTGCGCTATGTCAAAGTTGGCTAACTCAGGTGACGTAAGTAAGGATGCAAAGAGCCGGCTAGGCTACACCAATTGCTTTAATTCACATCCAAAATACAGTTACAGATTTCACGGAAATGTTGCAAGCCGATTTCAAGCTTGTCGACACACTCTGTTCACACAGCGGGCGTGGCAGCCACCAGGGCGTTACTTTCACACCCACAGATCCCGATGGAGCAACATTAGGTCGCCAGCGGTTGAGCCTGCGGCAGAGGGTGGCACGGTGCCACCGAACAACGTAATCAAGGCAATCGCGTTCACAGGTGCAGTAAGTATTTCGATCGAAATAGATACTCTTGTTTGGCACATACTCTGAATCCAACTTTTGTTTAGTTCAGCATCGGATGCTTTGCTGGCGCCACGATAATTGAATACGAGAACACACGGAGCATGATTCTTTCGAAGGCCAAACAGGCGCGTTTCGGTTGGTTACAAAATCGCCTGCTTGTAGATCGTGACACTTGGTGGCAAATCAAGAACGATGCGCGGCGCTTTTGGGATTCATTGACGCCCGGTGATAAAACCTTTGCGCCCATATTGGTGTGTAATCTGCTGGCGTTTGGATTGTGGCGTCTGCCCGCAATGCGCAACATCATGATGACGTACTTCACATCAAATCCTGCAGCGCGTAAGTCCAATCCATAAAATTTAAACTATAAACTGCCTCTATCTTATTTGAAACCTCACACAGGAATCGTTTGCTGGCCCATGTTCCTCTCGACATTCAGTCACTACTCCGTCATGCACATCTTTGCCAACATGTATGTGCTGCACAGTTTTTCTAATGCCGCCGTCTTGTCTATGGGCAAGGAGCAATTTATGGCCGTCTACCTCAGCGCTGGTGTATTTTCCAGTTTGATGAGCATTCTCTACAAGGCGGGCACGCGACAACCGGGCATGTCGCTGGGCGCGGTGCGTATTACGTTTAAGTTTATATATACATATATTTATATCTTAATTATTGTGCATTATTTGCAGTCGGGCGCTATTATGACCGTATTGGCCTACGTCTGCGCACAGTATCCCGATACACAGTTAAGCATATTGTTCCTGCCAACCGTTACGTTCTCTGCGGGTGCCGCCATCAAAGTTATCATGGGCATAGACTTTGCCGGCTGCGTAATGGGCTGGAAATTTTTTGATCATGCGGCACATTTGGGTGGAGCCTTGTTTGGCATGTAAGTTGCGATTTATGCTCCATTGTCGTTGATCTAATGGTTATCTGTTGCAGCTTTTGGGCAAACTATGGTGCGCAAGTGTGGGCGAAACGCATTGGCTTGCTAAATTACTATCACGAGCTGCGCAGAACGAAACAGAAATAAATGCAAATGACTTTTGCGGAATTTTTCAGAAATGCCATTATTTTGAAAGCGAAACATGCATCGGAGAATCTTCAGAGATCGTTCAGCCTTAGAGGCTCGTGTTATCTTATTAGGTTCAATAAAATGACAGAATTATAAATGATCTTATTTCTATACCGCTTTTTTGGCGGGAGGCGGCTGCTCGGCCAGGTTGCGCTGGATGCGATAGGCAATCTCTTTCCGGCGCTGTACCAGCTTTTCCCTCAGCTCCTGAGATGTCTCTCTTTCCGGCGCATAGGAGATGTGTAGTACGCCGCCAAAGAATTGCTTAGCATCCAGTTGTCGTTTAGCCCGCCGCGCTTGCTCCAACCGATCAAACTGTACCGCAAATACATCTGTAAATGCCTCTAATTCCACTTTCAACATAATAAAGTTTAGTTAGGCTTATCCCTTAAATATTATCTCAATCTGACGCACTTGTTTCTGCCATTTCGGTGGTCACACATGTGCAGGAACGCAATTTTCCGAAGCACTGCAGCTTATTCTTTATTTCTGTGTGAAGATTGACTTTGGGCACGCCAAAAACCAACATATGCCGGGACTCGCTGGCAACAGTGTACACCTAAAAACTGGCAGAGTTTTAAAGGATCCCAAAGGATTTTTAGATGGTTTTTTTACTTTCACAGCTTTCAGCTCGCGGCCCTGTCGATATTGCAATCGCGTCGTGCAATATTCTAAGCGCTTATGATGTTCGGTTGGCGTTTGCTCCATAATGTTAATATTTTAATTGCTATCTATTTTTATTTTACTTAAAATTAATTCCTCCAGATTGCAAATAAATTTTGAATATTGCAGCTGCGCTGCCAGCTGTAGGGTCGCTTATTTGCTGTGTTGGAAGGCCCAATAATTCAGCAATTTCCAACACTCTTTAGCATTCACTTGTTGCGTGCACACAGCTGTAAAAATGTGTAGATGGCGGGAAAAGAAAACTGTACGCCAGAAATGCGCGCCCTGCATATAAGGTAAATGTGCATAGTTAATTGAATCATTAGCCTGTGAACAACCGAAACGTGTAGAACTAAGCACATCTGCAATTGGCTTATTCAATTTTAACGCGCTTTTATTTCAAGAATTAGTGAAAAATTAAAACAAATTTGTAACAACATGGCTCAAGCTCAAATTGCCGGCAAAGAAAACATCACAGACAACATGGAAAAATTCTCTTTAAAGGTACGTGACACGTTTCCAATTATGCACAGTATATATGCAAATATATTTATGGCTCCGTTTGCAGTTACTGAAACAAATGCAAATTCATTTTTAGCTAATTATAGCTTTCTTGTTACTTCTTATATATATATATATATATTTTTTTTCGTTTGTACAGAGCCCTAGCAAGAAAATTCTGACGGAGAACGCCAACAACGTTCGCAAAATGTCCGTAACAACGGAGGACAATGGCATCAGCAAGGAGGCCAGCAGCGCCGGCAGGGGTGCTCAGACAATAATGGAGAAGATCGCTGCACCATTTGATCCAACGGTGGAGCCGCTGCTTCGTGAAAATCCGCGTCGTTTTGTTATCTTTCCCATACAATATCATGACATCTGGCAGATGTACAAAAAGGTATGGCGGATGTGTACATAGTGTGTGTATACATTGACGCATCAATATATACACAAGTACATTTGTGTGTGTTATGATGCAGGGTTGAAAAGGGCGGGAAAATGTATCATAAAACGCGGCAAAACTTGCTCACGTAGCAAGCGTAACTGATTGTAAACAATTAGATTAGTGGGAAACTATAATATGTAATGATTGCAACAATTGTGAAATGATGTTTATTTTTCGCCCATTCTTTACTCAGGCCGAGGCATCATTCTGGACTGTGGAGGAAGTGGATCTGTCTAAGGATCTAACTGACTGGGCACGCCTAACAGACAATGAGCGTCATTTCATTTCACATGTTCTGGCCTTTTTTGCCGCCTCCGATGGCATTGTTAACGAGAATCTGGTCGAGCGTTTTAGCCAGGAAGTTCAGATTACAGAGGCTCGTTGCTTCTATGGCTTTCAGATAGCCATGGAGAATGTCCACTCGGAAATGTACAGCGTCCTGATTGACACATATATACGCGATCCGCATCAGCGCGATTATCTATTTAATGCAATTGAAACAATGCCGGCAGTTAAGCGGAAGGCCGACTGGGCGCTCTCTTGGATATCCTCCAAGTCAGCTAACTTTGGGGAGCGCATCATCGCCTTTGCTGCTGTTGAGGGCATCTTCTTTAGCGGCAGCTTTGCTTCTATCTTTTGGCTGAAGAAGCGTGGACTTATGCCCGGCCTCACTTTCTCGAACGAACTGATCTCTCGCGACGAGGGACTGCATTGCGACTTTGCTGTCCTGATGTTCCAGCATTTGGTGCAGCGTCCCAGCCGAGAGCGCATCATTGAGATCATCTCCGACGCTGTTACCATTGAACAGGAGTTTCTTACTGACGCACTGCCGGTCAATTTGATTGGCATGAATTGCGCACTTATGTCCGAATATATTGAGTTTGTGGCCGATCGTCTGCTGGTTGAACTCGGGGTCGGTAAACTGTACAACACAAAGAATCCGTTCACATTCATGGAAATGATTTCGTTGGACGGCAAAACCAATTTCTTTGAGAAAAAAGTGGGCGAATATCAGCGAATGGGCGTCACATCAAATCGTTTAGATAATGTGTTTACACTTGATGCGGACTTCTAGAGTCGCCAACGCTATCCTCACAGCTGCTGGTACCGGGTGTTATTTTTAGCGATTGCAATTACATTAATCCTTAACTATTTCTGTAGATTTTAAGCTTATTTTCTGACGCATAGGCAAATCATCATTGTCATTCCTTTTACAAAATTATAAACTCATTCAATCATTTTGTCAACTGTACTTTAAATTATCATTGTAGATAACATTTTAAATAAATTTACTAAATATAATTACATATTTTAAAAAAATTTGTTTTATATAGGATAATATAGGCATGCGTCATAGAAATTTAAATATATATAGGTATAGTTACATAAAGAAACGGCATGTACATATATAAAATAATCGAAATGGCGGAGAAGTATCGTTTCGATAAAAGGAAGTACATTTCACTGCCAGTGGAAACGCTTTAACTGGTATCGATATAGATAGTCACAAACAGCTGACTTTGGCTTGAAAGTGCACAAATACATATGCATGTTACTGCATATCTTGTCGTGTAAATGTTATCTAGACAAGCAATTACCATCAGCGATTGTTTGTGAATGTGGCATTGCTAAGACCGTGCACAAAAACAATTGGTGAAATTGACAACCTGTGATATAATTACAGGCACGCTTCGTATTGCTGCCAGCATGTGCACAAAATATACATATTGGATCAGGTGGAAGGCAAATTGACCCAGGATCTGATAAGCTGATGTGAATATAGCATGGGTTATGTTACACGTGAGGCGGTGGAGTTGGAGCAGCAGTGCACCCTGCTCGAAGAACCAACTGGCGGCACGCCTGCTTCCGGCTCCGATGATGAATCACAGCCAAAGCACAAAATGCGTGCCAAAAGAAATATCTATAGACGACAAAGTATGTGCTATTATCTACCCAGATGCTTAAAGAGATTTGGCTGTTCCATGCGATACCAACTACTCAGATGCTTTAAGAGATTCGGCTATTTTATGCTGTGCAGTTTCTTCATATTAATGCTGTACACTATCGTGCAGTACTTTTGTATTGACGTGCAAAAAAGACATGGTAAGTGTAGAGTATACCATATTAAACCATTTGTTGACTGCGGCTTTTCACAGTTTCGCTGTCGGATTGGGCGGCAAACGCGTCGCTGGACCTCAAGGACTACATACAGGCACAGCAGGAGACGGCACTCATAATGCCGCGTGACTTTTGTCGCAACAAAACGTTTCTAATCATTGCCGTCTGCACCGGTTTGAATAACTTTGTGGCACGCCAGACGATCCGGGAAACGTGGGGCAATACAACAGAATTCAATTATGCCGCCTTTGGCAAGCTGCATGGCCATATGAAGGGTCATTATCTGCCGGCAATGGATTCACGCCTGCAGCTCTATGCCGATTACCTAAGCGGTGAGGGTGAAACCTTAACGGCCAAGGTGCGCATTGTCTTCATTGTGGGCCGCAGCAATTACGAATCCCAACTGGGCAACGAGACGCTGATACGTCTGCACAACGAAGCTGAAATGTACAACGATATCATTCAGGAGAATTTCATTGATTCGTACAATAATCTAACATTGAAGTCCGTTTCGGCATTGAAGCATATCAGTAAAAGGTGCTCCAAGACGTGCGCCTTCTTTCTGAAATGCGATGATGACACCTTTGTCAATGTGCCGAATCTGTTGCATTTTCTGCTCGGCGGCACAGTTCCCCTCTATAATGATACACTGGACTATCATGACCGTGGCTCGATGTTGGTCATGTCGCCGCAGAATCGACTGAATGCCACCAGCGGGATCATGCGTGGACATCAGTTCTGCAATGTGGTGCCTGTCAGCGATGTGACAAGCAAATGGTATATGCCCTACTATATGTACAAAGATGAAGCATATCCCAAGTATCTGTCCGGTGCCGGTTATCTAATGTCCATTGATGTTGTCGAGCGTTTGTTTGAGGCCTCGTTGAACACAACGCTAGTTTATCTAGAAGATATTTTCATAACTGGTCTCTGCGCGAATCGTGCCAATGTCAAGCGGCAGCATCATGCGCTCTTCAGCTTCGCCCACTCCCCGCATTTGTGCGCCTTTAAGGGCAGCATAACCCAGCATCAGGTGAGGGAGGAGAGCATGGCGGACGCGTGGCGTTTTGTTTCAAATTACAGCATACAATGCCCGCCACCGGGACGTTACTTAAATCATATGCGATTAAGGAATCGAAATAATTGTTAAAGCACAAGAGCTGTGAATATGCCTCGAAAATGTTGGCCTCCTTCCATATCTAGAGTTTACATTACATTTACAATATGATTTTTTGCATTGAATACTCCGACAAACAGTTTTGCACACACCTTATGTAACGCGTAGCTATATAAAACTTTCTGTTCCTGAGATTATTTGTGGTATTTAAAAGTGAAATTTAATATTTTAGTTTAAAAGAAAAAAAAGTCAAAATAATGTATCAAGGCCGATATTCTTGCACACCTTTTTTGGGTGCTATAAATACTATTTGCAATATTATTTAACTAACGCACAGACTTGTTCAATTTGCACATAGTTATATCTACTACAATCTGTTAAAGCAAACGCACAAAAAAGACCGAAAATATGCTCTAGCTGCATAATTTCAACTCCCCAATACTCCACTTTATATGATTGCAACTGTGTTCGTGAGTTTTGTTTATCCGTATTAAATCTGAATTATTTATTAACAATCTCATTGCGCCAAGTATTTATTTTTTACAACTCAAAAAAAATATATATATATAAACGATATTATTTAATATCAATATACTCGATGCATTACTTTTATTACTAAGTATGATGATGTTTGTTAATGGGCGTGTTCTGAAATTTCATGTTCCATGGTATATTATTGACTTGGGCTAGTTGCTTTTCGAAAACAAAAACAAAAAGTTCTGATATTAAATGCTTAATACTCTTAAATGTAAACTGTTGCATACGTTCTTTTTTTGCGCTCTTCGTTTTTGAGTGGTTCATATGCAAAAAATATTACTAAAAACTATAATAACAAATTACATTCGAGCCTACAATTTTAAGCAAAGTTAATTGTAGCATTAAAATGTGTTAGGGTATTTTGAGTCCAAACTAGCACAGCAGTCATATTGCAGCGTCAGTCGTATCCGATGGCGAATCAAGGTGTTCGACACTTGGGCTTGCTGGTGGGGATGCCTCGCTTGGTCTGCTCTGTGTTGTAATCTCAGTCGGTTGCTCAGCTTCGGACGATGGGACTGACCTGTGGACAGTTGTTGAATCATCCTTTGCCTGCGCCGTCGCCTCAGCAGCGGTCACAGGTGAACAGTTCCTTGAGCTCTCCTCGCATGCAGTTGCGTCCGTCTCATCAGCATCCTTCTCGCTGGTGTCGGCAGCTTTTGCGGCTGTATTGTCTTCATTTGTTTCAGCTGCTGGCGTTGCAGCATCAGTCTTGGCACTGGCTGCAACGCCAGCTTCTATAACTGCCCCATCCAACGATGTTTGATCAGCTTCTGTATATCTTAATTGCGGCGTACTTTCTTCGGCTTCAACTGCATCCAATTCCTCAGTTGTTACACCAGCTGTTGTATCTGTATCAGTTTCATCTTTAATTTTTTCGTCATCAGCCTCATTTAATTCTGTTACTTCCATTGCTGCTTCGTTGGACTTTTTATTTTCCATATTTCCTGCGTCTTCTGTCACTTCCATAGCTTCCGCTGATTTTGCTATACTTGTTTTAATTGGCTCTGTTTCAGTTTTTTCTTTATCCGCAGCTGAGATTTCATTATCTTCAGGAATATCCTCATCTTCGGCTTTCTTTTGGCTTTCAGCTTGGCTCATCGTCTTCGTTTCGATGTTTTCTTCGTTTGTTTGACATTTAGTTGCGTCTGTTGTGTCTATTTTCTCTAGCAACTCATCTTCAACGTGCTGCTCCTGCTCGTTCTCACTATCATTTTGCATGGTATTATCACTTTCCTCTTCTTTATTGGCGTCATTTGCTGCCTCCACTGGTTCATTCTGGCTTCCAGCTTTCTGCATCTGATCTTCAGCATTTGCCTGTGCTTCAGACACTGTGGATTTCTTAGCTAGCTTCTTTGCATGTTCCATATCCACCCATTTTCGCGCCACCTCAAAGTCTTCCTCGGCACGCCTCAGCTTGACGACCACCTTCATTTTGAGCTTGGCATCATTGCGCTTTGTTTCCTCCATGCGCTGGCGCTCCAGATGCAGCAGCGCTGGATTCGGTTTGTTGGTCATCTTTTTACGAGGCTGCTTCTTTTGTATGGTGCCACCTGGTGAGGTGGCTTGATTAGTTTTTACCTCGCCAACGCCCTCGGTAATGTCCACTTCCAGCAGACTGGCCAAAATGGATGAGCTAAAGGCCGCCACATCAATATCCAGATTTGGGTCCATGTTGGCAGTAACTGGATCAATTTTAATTATATCCGATGCTCGTGCCGTTGATTTTACAGATGTTATTTTCAGGCCCTTTGGTATGCTAACGTTTGAAACCGAAGGTAGCTCCTCCTCGTTATCGGAATCAATGGTGATGGTATCCGTTTTGGGCTCCACGATCTCAATCTCATTGTCCTCATCGTCGCTGGCTTGTTTTTCTATAAAGAGTAAAAAATTCATTAACAATGTAAGAATTTAACATTTAAACTTAATCAGTTATTAAAAATGTAATATTTATAGTCTCTACATCTGTTTAAAGGCTTTAAATAAGTTTATTTAAGCTTAGAATGTGCGGAAGTTTGGCATAATTTAACTTACTGCTAGTTTGTAATTTTAAAATCTATAAAATTCGTAACTTATATATTAAGAAACCGCATTTCTTCGAGCGGAAAATTGGTGCGCAACTTTTGCAGAGTTTTCTCATTCGGTCTTGGCTGTCGTTCCAGCTCGCGACAGTAGCACTCGTAGGCAAACTTTGCCATTTGCCAGCGCAATTTGCAGGCGCGTGCATCACGCCGGAAGCGTGGCAAGCGTCGGGCCAGCTCCGCCCACAGGCGTTCGCGGGCACCCACATCATTGTAATCGACATGTCGCGGATTCCAGAGTGTGGGATATGCGCGCATGGCCAGCACCAGTTGTTGCGCGAACTGCTTATCATCGGGCATATCCTTTAGCTTGCCAGCTGAATCGCTGGAGGCGCCACCGTTTGTCACCTGCTGCACACAATCCTGCAGAGGTTCGAATTCGTCGCGTAAGTCCTGCTCGTCAATTTTATACAGAAAATACAAATTGGCCAAATATTTGGAGTACTTTAGCTCCAGATTGGCAAATGTGCGCTTGTCCTTAATGGTTTTTAGACGAAAGGACTTGTACATTTCGTACATCTGCTGCCAGCGCTCCACAATATACTCGCAGCGATAGTCTACAAAAGAAGAGCATCATTTAATTAATTCCCATTATAAATACAGTTTGGATTACTTACTGGGCGCTGATTTCCAAAAGTTGAGCCACAGCGATTTGCGCGTTTGCTCATCTATGCTGTTGAACTCAGGATCGGCGGACTTGCGCCACAGCACTGGATGACTCTTGGCAAAGTTAATGATGCGCATATCAATCGGACGTACCTCGATCGGACGCACAGGCAAACGTGGCGTCGCTCTCACCCCCTGTTGTCGCACATCGGCAAAGTCACGTTGCTCCTTATGTATGGTATTCTCAATGGCATCCAGTTGCTTGCGCTCAAAGCCGTCGCCATCGCCTTCGCCACAGTCGACGGGTTGCCATTCACTGCGAGGCAAATCGCGGTTGGCCAAATAATTGGTGGCCTTGTCAAAATAGCCCTTGAAGCGTTTACCCTGTTTCAGCAGTCGCTCGATGCGCACATAACGTTTGCGCACATTCTTCCAGCGCAGTTTGATGTCGTCGCCGCGTGGAAAGTGGCTGGCAATGACGCGCCACTGTTTGCGTGTCACCTCCATTTTCCCATAGTCCGGATGACGTGTACACCAGATGGATGGATATTCGCGCAGCAGGCGGGTCAGCTTGCGATCATAGGCATGCGCCTGCTCATTGCGATTCATGCTCTCCTCGGTGCCGAGTGCATCGTACTCATCATCCAAATCATCAACATCCTCGCCATCATCGGCATCATCGTCCCGATCATCATCATACTCAGACGGCTCGTCGTTCTCATTGTCCGCTGTCTCATTTGGCTGCTGCTCATCGTCCTCGTCTTTGGGATCGCCTTCGGCGCGCACGCCCAGCGGCATTAGCGGTGGCAGTGGATCAATGCTTTCGCCATCCTTCAGATTCGCCTGCAAACTCTTCCGATATTCGTAGACCTGGTTGTGAAAGCTATTGCAGCCCGTATTGAACAGATCCACATCGTCCAGCTGGCCGTAGCACACATAATCCACGGCTACAATAAAACCAAAAGTGAAAAAAAAAAAAAAGAAAGAGAGTTTAGCGAAAAACTGCTGCTGAATTCGATTCCATTGCCTTTTTTGGATATTTTTCACAAACACATGGACCAAGAGCTAAATCAAATCAATTTGCCAAACGCAAGACTGAATTCAAGTGGAGCCAAGGAAATGGAACTCGCAGAGTTTTTCATAAACACAACAAAAGATACTTACATGCTGGCTGACCATAGCACAACTCATATGGTATTGTTTTTTATTGAAATGTTGAGCAACACCCGTCCATGTGTTAAAATATTCACAAAAGACAATGTACACTAACTACACTAAAGTGGCCTCAACGTGCACAAGGCAACTGCAGCCTGTGAAGCGTCGGCTGGAATAATACTCGTAATATCCTATACTAAATCTTAGGCTATCAGGTTTTGTATTAAACAAGATGTTAAGTTTACGGTAAGGTGTTATCTTACTTCAGAATAAGCTATATTCGAGATTAGTTATTTCTTAAACATATCTAAACAATAGAAATTGCGTACTCTAATATAAAATACCTATACAATTTAAACAAGTACGGCTATCTTCTGCTGGCCGAAGATTGAATAGCCCCAAGGAGCTCCTTATGGTCTTGAAAATATATGAGCTGAATTGTGAAGCTCTTATTTTCAGACTTTGGTAAAGATATATCGAAAAACAGACCGATTCAACCGATTCTTTCCATATAACTAAATCACATAGTAGTCTTAATGTTGATAGGATTTGACCTCTATGTATGCAGCTTGCTAAAACTAATTAATGCCACGTTTCGCCAATAGATCTTCAAAGCCAAATAAGAACTTAGCTCTCGGACAACCATTTCTATAGCGCTCCAATTTGGCCGTCTAAACATCTTATGTTATTCGAGATCTTATGATACCAACCACTTCTTAAATCTATATTATATATTATAATTGAATTGTAAAAAACTTACCAGCAGCTAGTTGACCGTTCTCCAAGCTGTTAGCATCATTCTTAAAGCCCATTTCGCGCATATCGACCAGGCACTTATCCTGCAGCTGTTTAAAGCGTCCAATCGCATAGGTCATCAGATAGGATAAATGTATGTAGAGCTCCTTGAGATCCATGTAGCTGCGCGCCTGATTGTACGCATTCGAATGGGTTAGCGTTTGCACTTTGCCCGTCAGATGCGTGCATATTTCCATCGCATTAAAGATCTGCTCCTGCAGCTGGGTGCGCGCCATACCAATGGGACTGTTGGGGAACACATGACGCACCAGTGTCGGAGCCTTGTGCACTGCTGCTGGCGTCATCATAATGGTTGTCCCGCCATTACTGTTGGCAGGCGTCGATGCCGCCGCAATGTTCACCGAATGCACCTGGCTGCCATTATTGACGCGCACCACTTGCGGCGCGCGCTGCTGCTGATTAGTTTGTGGATTATAGATGCCCATATTGGAGCCAAAACTGGGGTGGACCATGCGCGGCGATGGCCCTCCCGGTGTCTGTTGGCGTATGATGACCTGCGGATTCATTGAAATAGGGGTGCGCGTCAACGTTGTTGAGGGCTGGCCGCTGGGTGGCAACTGGCGCTTGACCTACGGTGGATTAAAAGGTGTCTATTTATGCTATGTGTTGGAGGCAGAGGGAAATCCTATACCTGTATGAGCCGACCATTGGGCAGACGATAGGAGTCCTGCTGCGCTGCGCTATTGAGATCGACACGAAAACCATTTATGGTATGGAAGACGGGACCCGCAGTGCGTACGGCATTTGGCACCACGGTGCGTCGCACAACAGAAGCTGGACCGGGTGTCGCCTGGCGGTAGCGCATGCCCGAGCTGCTCAATACCAATGGCGGGGGCAAGCTACTACGTGGACCAGCTGTGGCGCTGCCATTAGTACTCGGACTGGGTCCACTGTAATTTTGCTGTACAGTCACAATGCGCGGCGTGGTGGGGGTGATGCTGGCCGCTGGAGTTATAGTGGGCCGTGGACCAGGCTTTTGTGCTACTGAAATTTGACAATCCGGTTCCAGCATGCTGAGCAAATCGGGCGTACAGACTACCTCATCATTGGAGGACTTGGGACGCTTCGCGGGCGTACACTGTGGCTTGGGCGACTTCTTAACTGAGTGCACAGAACTGGCATGACTGCGCTTGGAAGCATTTGATTCTAGGCTCTCCATGGAGTCGGACAGACTGTTGGCCTTGGCTTTGGCCAGGCGACAGCATGTGCTGTAGTCCTTGTGCATATGCCTGCGCATTTCCGATTCGGACAGCTGCATCGATTGCAGTCCGCTGTCAGAGTAGAAAATAATGATTAAGCTTGTGTTGGGTTTTTCTTAGTGCACGGTACTTACTTCTTCTGCGTCTGGATGTAGTTGACAAGCGCCCAGTGCTGGGCGCGCAGCGGCCACAGTATTTTCGACGTGCACTTGAAGCAATTCCAGTTCTCGTTCTGCTCAATGTCCACGATAACGCCGCGCGATAAGTTTTTAATGATGCACGACTTGCAGAACACAAATGGGCAGGTTGAGCAGCAATATACTTCGCCGCCCTGACCACACCAGCGACAGTACAACTCGGAGCCATCCTCCCCCTTGGAAAACTCGCCGCTGTTGTAGAAATCATGGCATTTGATACAGTGCGTCACCCGCAATATCGGATGCATTTTGATGTTGCTGTCCGCGCTGGCCGCGGTCCCAATATGCATGCGACAAACGGTGCAGTGGACTTTACGCTGATTAACCACATCGACGGTGGGATACATTTTGAGATAAAAGCGACGCTCCTCCTCCGAAATGCTGGCATCCATTTCATAGTTGCTACCTAGACAACGCACACACGTACATTAGACAAACATGTAGAGGGAGGCGCTTGCTCCTCTTACCCGTAAAATCAAAATCAAAGGCTTTCAGTGAAGGCGATGGCGTCGCAGGCGTTGCGACCGTCAGCACAGCCTCGGCGCTGGGCGTGCTGCTCATTTTGCCGGCTACGATAGTCAAGACTATCCACACGTGTATTTGCAATCGCAATCAAGAAATATCTTCTTTCTTCACTCTCTTACACACATACACACACACACACACACACACTATCAGACTACCACACTAGACTACTGCAAAATGCTGGCTAACCAGCAGCGGCAGCAACAACGCGTCGCGGTATTTTTTGCAATAATAAATAACACTAATACCAACGCATGCCCTACATATATAAAATGGCGGCAACGCCGTTAATGATCTCTGCGCAGTTTTGCAGTTTAATTCAAATGCTCGATTTTGATATTTAATATTAGCTCCATTTGCTTGGTCGACAAAATAAAAATGATTTTTCACGCGACTGCCGTTGTACTATCTCGTTTCCAATATGGCAGCCACTTCGTGTGAGCCGAGTGCACGAGCAAAACACGAAGTATACACAACAAGTTTTACCTAAAGTCTGGGCCGATAATGTAAAAATATGTTATACATACACATTTCATGGATGGATATAGTTAAATGGTCGTACAAAATCGATACTATAATATATATATATTTTATACAAACTTTAATTTAGGATAGCATAAAGTAACAATCTTAACTACCGATCGCATATAATACTCTTTTTCTGATTGATCATCATCAACATAAGCGTAATTTGAATTTAATGGTTTTATGCATGGTTTTAACATCATAAATTATATTAATATTATATATAATTTACAAAGATCTAAAAAAGTTGATTAAAATGCGCAACTATACGCTTGGCAACTCTATCAGCAACGTGTCGTCTTCTTCGCACTCATGCAACATTCCGTAAGGCACGAGCATAACGGAAAGGTAAATTATCAAAAATAAAGATGACTATATTTTATATTTATTATGATGTAATAATGTAGAAAATCAGCTACAAACACATACATATTCATTTGAATATATTTTTAAAATTTGAATAAAACAATCATCTACCAACATGCACGTTTTACAGCACTGGTGCACAAATGCAACACTGAGTTTCAAATTGCCGGCACTAGTCTAGTTTATTGTTTGCAGGCAGTAGCTATTTCTAGAAAATTGTGGATAAGACCTAATTGGATTTACACGAAAAGATCAAAACGCTAAATGTGTTTTAATTATGTAAGTGGCATAAAAACATTGAGATATTCAGCAACGTCGGTTTATAAATTTGTGACTTATATTTCGGCGGTGACTTAGCGTCGAATTTTGGTACTTGTTATCGGAAAAGTATCGGTCACTTTCAAATGCATTTATTTATGTTTTTAAGCATGAAACCAAAAAAAATAAATGCAGAATTGCAAAAAATTAAATTATTTACTATCTACATTCATTTATTATTGAATTTTAATTTATAATATGGGTAAACAAAGGGGTTGAAAAGTTAGGTTTTCACCATTCATTAAATATCTTAATTTAGGGATAATTTAGGGAAGCTTTACGCATTAATAAGCAAGATGATTGATAATTCGCGATCTATATGTTAAACTACCGTGCATTTGCGGCCATTATCGGAGAAATAGAATAATAAAGGTTGAAATATTGCCACCTTTTCGTTATTATACGTAAATAAATACTTAAATGCATAGTTGTCGTCTTTTTCAACAGTCTTTTTTACCAAAGATAATGTTTTATTGTAAAATGACAATTATTTCATATATTACTGCATTTATTTTTCATATACAAGTATTTTGAATTAATTTGTTCCCGCTCAATACTGTATAACATTGTTCAGCATTGATTCCGAGCAGTGGTTCGGTTCCCGTTGGAGCTAGTAGCTCGATAGGCCTTTTGAATGAACTACATGAGGTGTTTACATTTTGTTATTTTTCTAAAAAACTGGCTGATCGATTTGTTTAGAATTAATGCGTAAAGCTTCCTTAAACATGTATCTTCAAGTTGGTATACCGTGCATTGGGGCCGTTATCCCTGGGAAAAGATATTAGGGTTCAAGTGCAAGGGTGATTTTTTACGGTCATTTTGTATGGGGCTAGCAACGAGGTTGCTGCACTGTAGTACAAATATCTTAAAAACGTGCTGATCGATTTTTATAGTTTTTTCAAGATTAGTTAGGTGAAACTATAGACTTCAATCGTGTGTATGCGGTTTTCGGGGCCATTATCCCTAAATTAAGATATTTAAAGAATGGTGAAAACCTAACTTTTCAACCCCTTTGTTTACCCATATTATAAATTAAAATTCGAAAATAAATGAATGTAGATAGTAAATAATTTAATTTTTTGCAATTCTGCATTTATTTTTTTTGGTTTCGTGCCTAAAAACCAAAATAAATGCATTTGAAAGTGACCGATACTTTTCCGATAACAAGTACCAAAATTCGACGCTAAGTCACCGCCGCTAATTTGACGCACATCATAAACTCGTGTTATATGGCTGTGAATGTTCTTTTGAAAACCATTAAAATGCAACTCTGTTCACTGAGCTGTAACTCTGGCCAGGCACGTGCATCTCTTCTTCTTGATATCAAACGTAAACATGACCGACAGCATAATGGATTATATTGCCGGTACCATTGATTATTGTCAATTAGAATATAGTTATAACTATGCTTACTTGGTATTACAGAAGCTGCTGCTAAGGAACTGCCGAGCTCTGAGGAAGAGGATGACATTGAGGACGAGGACACCTGTAGCGCTCAGGAATTGGCTACTGAATTTCGTACCCAACACACAAAGGACGAGGCGTCGTTGTCTTTGAAACGTGACTATGTCCTGGGCTTATGTGCGGACCCTGGATTCACGCGCCTTGCAGCTGGGCTCTCAAATACCGCTGTCAAGATTTACGATCTGAGTGCAACAGGCGCACTGACAGCAGTTCAGGAGGAGCGGGTGCCCGCCTTGACGAGCTCCGATAATGCAGTCACCATCTGTGGTGTTCGTTTTCTGGAGGAGAATTCAAACACATTGCTGGTGGGGACCACGAATGGTCTGGTGCGTCTATTCGATTTGCGCGCCGCGGGCGAACAAGCAAGATTTGAGTACAAAGTAAATCCTGAAGCGGAACCAGCTCTGCCGCCCGTGCCTGAGTGCATCACATGCTTCGATCGCAATGCCAACAGTCGCATCATCTGCTGCGGCACAGAGCAGCACATGGGCAACGTGTATTTGTTGTTTTATGATGTGCGCGAACGCAAACAGTTAGGTGTTTACTACGAAAGCCACGAGGACGATGTGACGGCTGTGCGTTTCCATGCCAGCAATCCGGATCTGCTATGCACGGGCGGAACAGATGGCCTGATAAATGTATTTGATATCAAGCAGAGCGACGAGGATGAGGCGCTGTGTAATACCATCAACACGGAGAGCAGTGTGCATCGCCTCAACTGGCATCAGAATGTTTACGAGCAGGATATTATTTCCTGCATTACGCACACCAACGACTTCAAGAGCTATGAGTGCATGGAAGGCGATGAGGTTATCTCCTTTGAACGATCCGACATTGTTGCTGGTATACGACGTAAAAATGCCGGCAATTTCAATTTGATCAATGCCCACAATCTGGAGGACGATGGCGTCTTTTTGCTAGCTGGCACCAATTTCAATCGCGGGTGAGTTTTGATCCCACATATGAATTGTCGACCCGTCCATGACTCTCTTTTGTATAGCGAGGTTCTGCGTTCCGTTACGGCTCCTGCCAAGGATACACTCAAGCCCCTTACCAACTTTGTGGGCAACAAGCAAATTGTACGAGAGAGTCTGTACGATGCGAAGCGTGATCTACTTATAACTGGCGGCGAAAGCGGCATTATCTCCATCTGGACACCCGATGCGGGCAGCATGATTAACAGCAGTAAATTAAAGAGCAAATCGATAGCAGCTAAGAAACACAAGACTACTCCATACTAAAGACAAGAATTTATAATAAAATTGTGCTTATTTTTAATTTACGTAAAACTGAAGTCTAGTTTAATTTCTCGGCCCGTTTATGTAACTGTTACTTTTACAATATTCGCGCCATTTTACCTGGCGTTGCCAGATGTCGATGCTTATGCTGCTCGTTCAATTATTGCCCATGCGTGCTGCCACTAGGTTTGCACATTATTGCACACGGACAGTGTCTGCTTGTTTTGTAACGTTACGAGTGTTCTAAAACGTAAGCGCGCCTACGTCGCCTTTGCATGGGCACGTAATGACTGAAAGTGGATTTTCTATGACTATTTTTGGGGTGGTATGGTAGAAGCTTTAAAAATCGATGCATATGTAAAAAATGTGCAACATTTACTTATGTACGTATAATAAGGCGTTAGGTTCTAAATAAATATATATAAATGCACTACAAATTTATTTTAATACGGGTTTTTAAAGATACGATTAGGGCATAATATAATAATCTTTGAGAGCGAAGCGTTTCAATATTCAAAAGTGACTATAGTATACTTAAAGCCTGGTATGTATAGACACATTTGGAGTACACTCTCTCTCTTTTGTCCCACTCTCAGCCCGAAGTCCCATTAAGCTCTGCTTAGTAAAATATTAGCACATCCTTAACGCACAAGCTGGGCACGTCCTGCGAGCACACATAATATCTCAATTGCTTTCTTCTTCTCGCCGCATTTCGAGGCCCAATTAGTGCTGCAGTAGGCATTGCAAATGCGTGCCCACAGATCGTCTAATCCGGTGCCACCGGGAAGCAGGAACTCTCGGGCTAAATGTTGACAAATACAACACCTACGATACAAATAAAATTGCTACAGAAGTACCACCTAAAACGTAGCAGCCAAAGGCCTAACCGGAACGATATGATTTTCACAAATTTACGCCAGCCAAGCAAAACCCAACGGCAGGACTCGCCGCCACCGTTGCCTTTGGTCCTGCGGCGCACACAGGATCGCATCGTATCGCATCGGTTGGGATCGGATCCGAATCCGAATCGGTCTCCTCTCCGCTCACCGTGGCTAATTGCTCATGAATAAATTGTTCGGTTTTCGAATTCCATTGAAAATGTGTCGATCTCTCTCTCGCTCTCCCTAACTCCCTCTCTCTCACTCGTTGCGAGTCCTGCGGAGCAACCAAAATATTATGGTGTTCCCTGCTGTTAGCGCACAGTCAGCGCGAATTTGCTGCGGTAAGTCGATGCTGCTTTTTCTTTGCCGAGTTTTGAGTCCTGAGTGTCCTTACTGCTCCTTGGCAGGGCCTCTGTCGTCGGTCTGTCAGCCTGGAATTTGACATGTTTGTTAGCTAGGCTGACCCTGAGTTTGTGTTCCACTTTGATGTGATTCGTCAATGCGGTGGACTACCGGCTACCGACTGCAGACGCAGATTCCTTTGGACCGAAGACTCTGGACCTGCCCCAGCAGGCATCTCACGAGCATGCGGATGCCCAACAGCGTTTGTTGGCGTATCTGTGTCGCAGGTTTCTCTGTTTATTTGTTTGTTTGTTGCCGCTGTCTCCTGTTGCCGCTGGAGTGCCATTCGCTAGGCTCAGCATGGGCCGCCAATCCGGCGAACCTCCCGTTGGCTCGCATACCGCAATGCGCCGTATTTATAGTAAACGTAGCCGATCGATTGCGGTTCCGACTAGCCATATCGAGAAGACCACGGAGTACAGAAAGAGACAGAGGGAGAGACAAGGAAAATGAGAGAGCATATGCCTTTATTATGACTATGCTTAAAGAAGAATTGGGATTATTATGGTTTAAAGACGAGTCACAATCATGACTATATTCAAGAAATTTACACTTCATAAAGAATATATCAATTCTTTATTAGTATAAGCAGTCGTCAAGTTTTTGTTGAAACTTGGCAGAGAGCTGTGTTTTTGCTGTAGGCAGTTCTTGCAGTCGAAGTCGGCCGGCGTGGACGGACCACTTTATCAAACAGCTGCCATTGGAATTGTGGCTTAAAAATATATTTTTACTTATGCCAAATGTATCTTAAGCAAAACAAAACGAATTATGAGCTTTATTTTGCTTCTCGCTTAAGAAAACAATCATATTAATACGTATCTTTTATTGCTGAAAAAAAAAAATCGAAGTAATTAAATAAAGAAATTTCCGTTAGATACTGAGATACTCATAACTGAACATAGATAAATAATCTTTGAGAAACTGACATAGATATTAAGACATTTCACTAATAAGATACTTTCACAGATATCGAGATACTTATAACCAACATAGATACTGCATACTTAAGATATCCTCATTGGCACTTAGTTACTTGTTACTTACCGAACAAAGTTTATCTTTAAGATACTACTTAGATTCTTAATCTTTAAGATACTTAACAGATACTGCCCATAGATATTTCATCTTTTCGATACTTACATAGTTACTTCCCATAGATAATTTATTTTTAATGAACTTTTACAGACACTGAGATACTTTTAACTATCCATAGATAGTTCATCATTGAGATACTTATATTGATACTGTCCATAGGATACTTCTTCTTTAAGATACTTACCCAGATACTGAGATGCCCATAGATACTATATATATATATAGATACATAGACCATAGATAATTTATCTTTTAAATGCTTTTACAGACACTGAGATACTTTTGACTACCTATAGATACTTCACCTACCTACCCATATAGCTACTTCCCATAGATACTTCATCTTTAAGATACTTTTATACACACTGAGATAGTTAGAGACTTAGGTAACGATATACGATATAACTACTTATAGATACTTCATCTCTAAGATACTTACAGAGAGTATCTCATGGCTTGCCATGGATACTTTATCTTTCAGATACTTGAACTCAACACTTCTTCTCAACACCGCTCTTCGCACAGGTATCTCTAGCTGGCCATTCAGCAAATCGCCCGCGATTTGCCTCCTCTGCCTGGTCTTGGCCCTAAAAAAGAAACCGCATGATTATGCGCCCGCACAATATCCGACAATGGTTCACCTAATTATTTGGCTCGTGCTCTGCTCTGTTTTTTTTTTTGTTTGTTGTCGACAAAAAGCGAGCCAATTTTTAAACGAATTGTCTCTCTTTTTATGAGTTTTTTCCATTGTGCGCATTTTGAGCTGTGTTCGCTGCTCTACAAACCTCCTAATTGCGGCAGTCAGTTGTTCTTCCTTGTTGTCCTTCGCGTGTGTCCTTTTTATTTCGCGCTCGCATTTCCACTAAAAATTGTGCCATTTTTTCCCATTCTTTGCCAGGTAGTTGCCGTGTGAGACGCGCCTTTTTATTGGTGCAACTTCGGCGAAAATCGCAGTGACAACCGCAGTCCAACGTCGAGTCCTTCACAAGGATGTGACCTGCCAAGAGGCACATACTTATCCAGATGTTATAAAAAAATGAAAATAATTGAATAATTCTTGGGCACATAGGGGCACATATTCCTATAAGGTCTTCATTAGTTCATCATTTTCTGTCAACTGAAGCTAAAATTATTCCTAGCATAAAACAAAATCCCTCTTTTTATAAGATCCCCCCAGGAATTTGAGCTAAGGTCCACTCTCTTGAGACTCTCCTTCCCAATCAACCTTAGGCTAGATTTTCTGCTCTAAATAAACTTCTCAAAAGGTGAACCGAAAAAATGATCTCTCGTTTTAGTCGCATTTTGGCATTGTTTGTGGCAAAAAGAAAATTGTTGTCATAAATTTATGGCATGGGCTCGTTTTGGTCCCGTTTCTCCTGTTGTTTGCGGCAAAGAAATGGTTCAAGAATTATGGTATATGCAGATTTTTATGGGCCGTGCGCTGTTTCGCGGAATTCCGGCCGTGTCCTGTCGCGCATTCCGAGGACCCGTATTTAGCAATGTAGATCAATGTTTTTTGTTTTCATTGTCGCATTTTTTCGGCTGCGCTAGTTTTTTTCCCCGAAGCCCCTGGACCGGAGTGCTCTAATTTTTTAATTCTTCACGCGTTTTTATGACCGCCGGAAAAACAGTGGAAAACATGTAAACCGTTTTCCACAAGGTTACTTAGCACCATTTATACAGAGTCCGCCTCTGCCTCTGCCTCTGGCTCTGGCTCTGGCTCTGCCACTCTACTTACCTGTTAATTGTGGCCATAATTCCCAACGTCCAGCCACATTTTTAAGATATTTTTATTAGGGCGTGCCCTATATATGCTGCACATTACGATCGTAAATCTTTGGAACTGTGCGAGTGTAACACAAATCCACAAACTTGACAGAAACCGAGTTTTTACAGTTGTTGGTTTACTTACAAGTATACGAAGCATTGTATTTTACTCTGTGTAACTTAATTAGTAAATTACTAAAACTGATCATGTATCGTATCTAAATTTTATTCTCAAATACTAGAGCTCGACTCTTGTTCCTGTTTTGTTGCAAGGGAAAAGTGCATCTTCTCTTGCCAATTTTAACAGCAAATTTTGAGAATTTCCCGCAAAATCTTCAACAATAATTTTTGGAATAAATCATTGAACAGAGTTTTAAAAGTTTTAATCGACTTACATAACATTTATTTTCATATATATATTTTTTTTTCTTTAGAATCGACTTTCTATCGTTCGGCAGGCTTTAAAGCGCATATGTATTATATTATATTATATATTATAAAATAATAAAAGAAAACAAATATTATTTTCTTCTTCTTTGAAGACAAATATATATATTAACACAAAATTGCTTCAAGTTTTGATTTTCATAAATTAAGTCTCGCACCTCGAGGCAGCTAAATGAATATTAAAAAAAAAATAAAACATTTATAATTAAAAGGAAAAACAGTTTCGGCTGCAAATAATCATTTCCTTGTGGAGAGCAATCTCTATTTTTATGTAAGAGAATTTCAGCAAAGAAAGAATTCCTATAAAAAAGCTAACATAACTTTTTACTCGCGCAGTTTCTTTTTTTATGTACTTAGTTTTTTTTGTTTAAAAATATATTATTTATATTGTCAATCTGAAGTTAATATATATATAATAAAATATATAACATGTAATTCTAATTTTGTTTTTTTTTTATGATAATTATTTTTATCATGATAAACATGCCATTAAAAATATGGCTAATTCTTAAATAATTTCACAAAAATATACCTATTTTTATTATACATAAATACACATAACATACTTGTGTTTAAATATATATATGTGTGTGTGTGTGTGTGTGTGAGTGTGTACTTCCCATAATCAGCATAATCAGCGAGATCGGCGCTTTGTTTGCCAGCACAAATGCCAATAAAATGGCAAAGGAGCAACAACACAGCAACAACAACAACAACAAGAAGTAGAAGAAGAAGAAGAACAACGACAACAAAAGCGACTTCCACGTAGTTAGGTTCCAGGCCAAGCCAATGATGCCGAAAGTGTTCAACTCGGCTTGGACTATGGATGATCGGGTGAGGGTGAGGGGTCAGTGGGAATCAGGTAATGCTGTTCACTTTCGGCTGGCGCAAAGTGAAAGGTTAGAGAGATGGCTTGGCCCGATCGCTGGTTGAGCAGCCCACCATAAAGGGTATTTACTGTCGATGCCGCAGTGTCGCGTTTATTTGCACTTGGGCCCAGGCAAAAGGTTGCTCATTCTGCATGGACAACGTACCGAGGACGGAGGACGGAGGACAGAGGACCGCGGCGGGTGAAACAAAAGCGCCTGAATGCACAATAGGCAAGGTTGTGGGTAGGGTTCGCCGGTGGGCAAGGCTTGGGCTTGGGCTTGGACAGCGACAGCGATTCTGGCCAGGTCGCCGGGCGTTCAGGTAGAGCGGCATTCGGCGAGTTAATGCAAATTGCCGCGCAATATAACCCAATAATTTGAACTAACTCAACGACCGGGAGAGTTACTTAGTAATGCATAACAATGAGCGCAGTTGAGGCTGAAACTGAAATTGAAATGTTTGATGCCAAGGGTTTTGGCATTGACTAGGACTCGTTCTGGTGTCTGGTGTCCTGTGTCCTGTGTCCTGTGCGTTAATCCGTTTGCCATCAGCGACATTATTAGTCGATTTTCTCAGTTTGGCTCAGTTTCACTTTCGAGTTAGATTTTATTGCCGCATCTTGAACAATCGCTCGAACTTGGAACTGAATGTGGATTTTGGACACATGCTGTGCTGCGATTGCTCTAGTTTTAGGCCAATGGCTAAGGTGATTTAGGCCGAAATTGTCATTGTCTTTGACTCTCGCATGACCGGGTTACCCTCAGGCAGCGACTTTCGATTTAACTTTCAGCGACGACTTTAACTCCCTTTTCGACTTGCCGGACTTTCCACAGGCCACAACATTTTGTTTATTTGTTTATATTGTGGATTAGAGAGGGAGAGAGGCAGGCAGGGAGGGAGTGAGAGAGAGGGGCTTTGGGCGCGCTGATCCACACGCATTTTCATTAGAAAGCCATAAAAACGCATAATTATGGCAACAGGGATTAGCCACACACACGCACAACACACACACACGCACATATGTATATGACATAATTAGCGGATTCTGGAATTGGGTTATTTTTGCCCTCTTTTTTCTTGGCCCAGCTTAACCCTAAGCCAAACCCAAGCCCTAGCCTAGACCCAAGCAGGTAAAGGCCAGGCGGACAGCTCAATAGCTTACGCAAGCAAAAACAAAGTCAAATAAAGAAAAACTTTCAAGTTGGCAGCACTTTAGGCCCCCACCCAAGCCGTCGCCAGTGCTGCCCCATGTAAGCGCGCTCTGGGTACAGTTGCGCCTTTAGGCAACATGATTATATCATCATAATAAATGTTTGCCGCAACTAAACTGAAACTTTTCAAATTAAGTTTCAACAACTGCGCCCCCAAAAGTATTTCATTGTTTATGCATGTGCGGCTGTCTGTGTGTGTTGGGTGTGTGTGTGTGTGTGTGTGTGTGTGTGTGTTGGCGTTGTCTAAAACTTTTGCTTCATTTGCCCAGATAAGGTTCATTTACTGTTTAAGCTGTGACGCTGCCCGCTCCCACTCCATCGCTCTCACCCTCTCCCTCTCCCTTTTGCTCTTGCGTGGAAGTGTGAGCCCGTTAAACGTGCGGCATATAATATTAAGACTTCATAAAAGAGCAAATTATTTGGCTGCCTGTGGATCGATATATGGCAACCTCCTCCACCAGCGCTCGTTCTCCATCTCGGTCTGTGCATTATGCCATATCATTCTTTTGCCTGATGAAGACGATAAAATCCCATTATTAAGGGGGCCACTCACGTCTCGTTCGCACCCGTGGCGCTGCCCACTTGCGGACAAGCGAAACAAAAGATTCGCTCATACGCTATGAATATATGAAATCGCAATCGCCTCTCCCACAGACTGACAGAGAGAGAGAGAGAGCGCGTGCGAGAGATGCTGCTGGCGCTGCTGCTGCTGCTCCATGATAACTTGATTATGCCTTGTCCCTTTGCCTTGGACCACCGCCAGGCTGTGCATTATCACGCTTTTGCCTTGGCTCTCGTCCTCGCTGCTTTTTTATGTACTATTGTTCCGGCATCGTAATTGCCTTCATCGTCGCATAATTGTCAGCCAGCAGCCAGCAGCAGCCGGCAGCGGCAGCACCACAACATTAGCACCATCGTTCATTGCAGCCCGGCTGGCAGTGCGAGGCAACGGCAATAGCAGTAGACAAATGCATAACTATCGCCATCTCGCTTGCGCCTGGCGCATAGCGCTGCCATTGGTCGGGCGCTTGCCTGCGGCAGCCATTGCTATGCGGGCTGGTATAAAAGAGAGCCGGGGTAGCTGAGAGCGACACACTTGAGCTGTAACCATCGCAGAGTCAACATCGTCGCTTAACCGTTTAACCGTTAAGTCGTTTAGTCTAACGCACTGCCAAGTCGAGAACTGAGACCTGATTAATTGGAAAGAGAGAAGAGATATATATAGCAAAATGCACGGATATCGCACCTACAACATGGAGAGCCATCACCACGATGGCAGCAGCAGCGCCGTTGACCAGAAGCCGCTGGTCGTCGATCTGATCTCAACACAATACGGCAAACCGCAAACGCCGCCGCCTTCGCCAAATGGTAAGTGCCGCAAACCGAGCGCTGCTCCACTCAACAGCTTGACTAACTGTCCGCTCTTCTTCTCCCTTTTCCATGCAGAGTGCCTGTCCAGTCCGGACAACTCGCTGAATGGCAGTCGCAACTCGGAGATACCCGCTGATCCGTCGGTTCGTCGCTATCGAACCGCATTTACACGCGATCAGCTGGCGCGTCTCGAGAAGGAGTTCTACAAGGAGAACTATGTGTCCCGGCCGCGTCGCTGCGAGCTGGCCGCCCAGCTCAATCTGCCCGAGTCCACGATCAAAGTGTGGTTCCAGAATCGTCGCATGAAGGACAAACGCCAGCGCATCGCCGTCGCCTGGCCGTACGCAGCCGTTTACTCGGATCCCGCTTTCGCCGCTTCCATACTGCAAGCGGCCGCCAATAGCGTGGGCATGCCCTATCCGCCGTATGCACCGGCTGCCGCTGCCGCCGCCGCAGCTGCCGCCAATCCCATGCTGGCCACCGGCATGCCCACCATGCCAGTGCCCGGCCACTCGCCGTATGCCCAGTACCGTTATGCGCCGTATCACATTCCCGCAAGGCCGGCACCGCCGCCAGCTCCGCACATGCATCCGCACACGCACACGCATCCGCACTCGGCGGTGGCCATGCAGGCGGCGATGGGCTATCCGGCGGCCATGTTGGGCGCCGCTGCCGCCGCCGCAACGATGCCGCCCAGCTATGCCGGGCAGCAGCTGCAGCTGCCCAAGACCCAGACGCCGCCGCTGGATCTGCAGTCGTCCTCGTCGCCGCACTCCTCCACGCTGTCGCTGAGTCCCGTCGGCTCCGATCACACCAAGGTCTTCGATCGCAGTCTCAGCCCGCTGCGCAGCGCGCCCACCGCCCCCGCCCCAGGCGCCATCCACACGACCAGCAGCCCGCTGCCTGCGCCCGGTCTGCTGATGATGCCCAGCGCCAAGCGGCCAGCGTCGGATATGTCGCCGCCGCCGGCGACCACAGTTCTGGCGGAGCCGAAGCCCAAGCTATTCAAGCCCTACAAGACTGAGGCGTAGGCGTTGCCACGCCCATGCCCGCTGAACCGCAACCCGCGCTGCCCGCTCGATTGTACAAATTAGCGTTAAATTGTTGTTGCACCTCAATTGCATCTCCCCCACACGCTCCCTCCTACCCCCTCTGCACAGTGTGTGGAGCGGGATCGAATCGAAGCTATTTATCAGTTGTACATAAATTGTAAATTAGTTTTTAGTTTTAGTTAATTTTAAAACGAAATCCAAATCAAAATCCAAAATAAATAACTTAAACTTAAACGAAAACAATTCCGTTGACTTTTATATACCTGGGCAGGTATTTATTTACCTGCACTGAATGTGTGCCCAGTTGATCCTGTGGAGAAACCTTAGAGCGAGCAGCTGCACGAATCCTGCTGCTGCTTGACCTCGAGAGTGCGGCACACGCGCGGCGACCTTCGGCCCGTTGGCGAGCGGGGGGTTGCCCAAATTGCTTATTAATGCGATTAGAGGAGAACGAGGCGAGGCGAGTCGGGGCGACTCCTTCTGCTTGTCACACGCAGCGCATCCTTTGCAACTGTCGCGCCGTGTCCTTGCCACTGACAGCATGCCACATTTGCCGCTCGGGCCACCCTGGCACGCGTCAGGTTGCCTGCAGTCAATGCGTATCAATTGTCCTGGCTAATTAATTGCCGCATCCGGCAGCCTGCCGTGTTTGTTTGCCATTTACCAATTGTCATAATTGAGAAATCATCGGCACAAGGACACAACACAACTGGCCCAAAAAAAAAAAAACAACAACTGAGACACGGCAATCAAATTCGTATTCAAGGGAAACATGTGTTTCGAATTGTTCAAAATTGTGCTCAAAGGGTGTCAATTGCTGCGCTTATCAACACCAGCAAATCCCGTTTAACTCCAGCCGAACCCTTAAGCCCAGATACTTTATCTGTATCTTCCTCTGTCAAAACATGTTTTGACAGCGCATAAAAAATGTGCTCAACCCCTTTCGAATCACTTTCGGGGGCTGCAGTTGGGAATCTCAGCCAAGTGGCAACATTTTATGATTTGATAATAACAGATAGCGCACACTCAAAATAACAAAACATGTGGAGCATGCTCGACTAGAAGCTGCCCTGTAGTCAGCTGCTCTCCTTTTGCATAATCCCGCTTGAAAGTCATTTATATGTTAGACCACAATCGAAATGCGAAATCTGTTTGTCAGTAGGTCTTCTAAGCTGCGAGCTATGCCTTGAAAAGGAAAGCAGCCAATCGATATTTATCGATTTTTCGGAATTTAGTCGAAGTTCTTGTTATTATCAAATAAACTAGATCCTTGTAAATATATAAATATAAAGTTTGCTAGGTCTAGCTCTGGTAATCTATAAGACATGTCTAAGAGACCACGTTTTGAAATCGATATATATCGATTTGGAATTAAGTCAAAGATTTTGTTGATATGAAATAAACTGGATCTTTGCGTTTGTCTAAATGTAAATTTAGATATGCCTAGCTCTGGTGACCTATAAGATATGTTTTAAAGACAAAGTTTTGAAATCGATATTTATCGATTTAGTCAAACATATATCGAAACAAAGCAACCGAACACTGCCTGAGCTTTAAATGCCTATGAAGAATATATATTAAATGTATGCTTTATGGAATCGAAGAGGTATCCTTTTGCCTCCAGCCTTCATTATACTCCTTTAAAGACATATTCAATAAGTACAGGGTATCCTGAAAAAAAGGAACAGCGAGTCGACCCTGGGGACCTGGCTCAGGGGTCCCGGGTCTAGAAGCAAGTAAATTAAAAAGCGCAAGCGGAACGTTTGGCCTCAAGTGTGGGCAGGGCTGGGCTGGCTGTGGGCTGGCTGTGGGCTGGTGAGGGGTGGTGCGGGTGATGCGGGGCATGTGTTGGGGGCGGGGTAAACAACTCGATTAATTCCTGTTTGGGGGTGTGACTGCCCGGTTTGCAGGTTGTTGATAATTAATCATGTGGGGATTAAGTTGTTTTTTTGGCCAATGCAGAAATATCAGCAGGGCAGGTTTATTGAAAAATTATGCGCCATAAAAAAGGCAGCAGAGAAAGAGAGAGTGCGAGAGGGAGGGGGGAGATAGCGACAAGCGAATTACAAGCGAATTGCTGTGGATTAGCGAGCAGCAGCAGCAGCTGCTAACAGAAAAGTTCGGCTTTAAAGAGTTAACAGATTTCCGATTGCCAAACAATATAAACGCGATATTATTATCAATTAGGCGGCCGTATCTAATTCGAGACGCGATTCGCTTTTATTGCGCTCAATCAATGGCATTTGGCACTCGAATCAATGGCTGCCACTTCATGAGAACTTCTGCTCCCACAAAAACACACACACGCACACACACACACACACACACACACACACGCACAATAACAATGCATAATTCAATAGCTCAAGGCCCAGCCCAAACGCATTTATGAAGCTAAAACCTCACCTCTCTGTCTCCGCCCCTCCCTGCCCCTCCTGTGATGTACAAACAAAATTAAGTTTTATTGGTGCGCAGTCGACGCTGCGATGATGCGTGAGAGCTGAAGATGATGAGTGGGAAATTGAGCGCAGCTGAGACACCAGGCCCCCAATCCTAAGCCCAAAAACCCAGCCTCTGTTCAATACTTGAGCCTCTTTATAGAAATCTATTCTTAGCTCGGCAAAAATGGGGTATGCTGGTTTTTGTGAAAATGTATGTAACGGGCTGTCGATTCATTCTCTTTCCTGTGCTAACTTCTTCTGTTCACAAAATATCGATAAATATCGATTTTGACACAAGGTCTTTTGAGCATAACTCGAGAACTATAAGAGCTAGATATATGAGGTTATCTATGGAGGTTCTTGTGTAGTATATAAAGATTGGGAATATTTCACTTTTTGGTTATCTTTTGTAATCTTTAGTATTTATAGAGCTATATGCTTGGGCCTGGGTATATACACTTTTTTGCATACCATATTTAAACCCTGAAAATTTCATGAAACTCAAACATCAAAGGCCCGAGTTAGGCAAGATAGAATTGGGTAAAGTCCTGAGCTGGCGGCCCGCGTGCTTGTTTTTGCATAAAAGACAGCTAAAATGCTTACACTAACAACTCGACGCTGTGATTGGGATATGTGCCAGTCGGGCATACCCGACTAGAGCATTCTGACGGCTTTTCATGTATGTTTTGTTTTGTTTTTTTCTGATTTCTTTTAATAGTGAATTAGCACCTCGCACTGTCGGCCTGTCAGTGTTTGAGTTGGCTTTATGGCCATCATCTGGCCGACTGTTTGTCTCTATCTCTCGCGGGCTGCCAGTTGCCCACTTTCCCAACCCAAAACGAACCGTCGGCATTCGCACAAAAGCCAGCTTTGTGTGTGCGTCGGCCCGGGCGACCGCAATTTAGACATCGACAAGTCCACAGCTTTGCCCCGCTCTTTATGATGTACGAAATTCACACTAAGTGTCAATGAATATAAAGTGATCATGGCATAGTCACAATCACAGTCACAGTCACAGTCACAGCTGTTCCTTGGCGATCGGCGAGATCTGAGCCCCCCTTCAATGTTATACAACTAGCTTCATTCCCAGCTTAGTTGTGCCATTCATTTCCAACAGGAACAAAGCTTAAAAACCGCCCAAAAAAATGAACACCATACAACAAAGTTGGAGCCTAAGCCGCATAAATACACATGAATACAAAGAGAAGCTCTTCTAAATTATTGGGCCATACTCTAGAGTATCTTGCCTATGATAACAGCTAGTTATAGGTAGATGGATAAATAAATAAGTATATAAATAAATCTATCCATATCCATAAATCTATCTTATGTATTAAATATGCATGGGATATGAGTTATTTGAAAATAAAAGAACTCTCTGCAGGATAAATGTAGATTGGAACTTTAAAAATCTTTAAATCTTTTATTTAAATGAAAGCATTTTCTTTGGGTTACAAAAAGGTTTCATAAAAGCATACGAAAATCAGAAGCTACTAATCAGGCCTAGGAAATAATATAATAAAAATTTGATAAATATTAAAATGTATCTATGGACTTAAATTTGTTGCATAGTGTACTTAAAAGCATGTTTAGTTTTATGTGAAGACCACAATTAAGTTTCTTATTGTTTTCTGTTGTTTTTGAACAGCTTTTGCAACCACTTGCGGTTTCCTCATACACACACACATCTTACACACATCTCACACACACCTCACACACACACCTCACACACACTCACGTCTAGCTCGATGGCATGAATAAACATCTTTGTAAAATGATAATGCCGTCGCACAAATAATTTCACACATTTAACGCATACACAGCGCCCAGTCAATCAGTCAAGCAGTCAAGCAGTCAATCAGTCAATCGGCCAGTCAATTAGTCAGTCGTTTGTGAAACACGCATAAAACATGTCCACACACATAACTTATTATAATATGTCGAGTCGCAACGGATCACAGCGAAACGGAACGGATCGCGCGCGTATTGGCTATGCTGTTCAGGAGGGGGAGTTGGTAAGGGGGGTGGGGTGGGAGGAGGTGTTCCGCTGTTTTGGCAGTTGGCCAATTTGCACGCTGTCCATTAACATGGCCATGCGCCGCTTATCTAACGGCGGGTCCAGGCATTATTCTGCTGGTCTCAACATTTTCATGGATATTAACATGCGATAATCGCAACAATCGAAACGCGGCCAAAACAACAACAGGGCAGTTAAATAGAGGGGGGAGGGAGAGGAGGGGGAGAGGAGAAATTCGAATGATGTCAGCAATTTTGCATTTCCATATGCGATTCGCTGCGGTGCAATTGGCAAAGCGACAAACGCCAAGGGTGGACTCTGGACTCTGGACTCTGGCTTTGGGATTGGGATTGGGGGTTCGGGACATTAAGGCTGCGTGATAAGCTTCCGGGTAATTGCAATGGCAGCACACACAGACAAACGAAATTGCCCTGAAAATCGGACCAGTTGTGGGGGGGGCCAACAATAAAGCGAAATAAAAATCAATTGCTGTTGATAGATGCTGCGGCTGTCCGAAGAGCTCGGGTCAAGCGTAGAGTTGGCGGGGCCCAACAATAAATCTGCAGCTGAGCTAATGAAACTAGAATGATTGCGGCAATCACACACGGCTGTGGCGTGTGTAGACGTGTACGTGCCGGGCACTGGCTACGGCCAAGCAGGAGCGTCGGACACTGGGCTGTGGCTGCTGCCGGG